GGGGGGGGGGGGGGGTGTCTGGGTCGACTGCTTTGGTCTCATTCCAACGAGTCATGGACGTCATCAAATATTTGGATGCATCTGTTCATTATACCGGAAGTCATGCACTGTTGATTATATAGCTAAAGATGGGCAAAAGATTCCGGTCCAAGAACAGTTGAGTATATTTATTGTATTAATCTTTAATTATTAATATATTATACTCTTAATTTTTTTTTAAAGAATTTTATATATTTGCTGACTTCCATACATGTGTATTAAACCCCACCCCTGAGTAAACGCCCGGTTCAAGGAGATCCAGTCGCATTGACGTTCTGCAGACTTCGTGTTTTACGAGGATGCATCGAGGGCCTTTACGAAACTTACCGGATTGCATTTATGTTATTTATATCCTAGAGTGAGCAGAGAAATATAAAAATTCTGAACTAAAAGGACAACATTCTAGAGATGTACTTTCTTCAGGATAAACTCACCTTCACAGCTTTGTCAGTTTAGTCGTAATAGTTGTATCATTTGGAAATAGACGCCTAGTTGGTCGAAATTTGATGACTAAGATGTGAAGGTGCCTTAACTGAGAATGACTGCCAATAGGTTAACATTTAATGTGTCAGACACAGTGCCAGGCGTGCTGGTAAATCCGTTGCAGTGAAATGTTTTACGTACATATACATAAATTTTTAAAAATATATTTTATATTCATTTTAAGAAGTTTTTATTCAGTCACCACGTGATACAGGTGTTCGTAATTGGCGCGTGGCAACGTCTCGTGTTCAGAAGGTACAGTGTCGCCCCTCCCTGATGTGAGTGGGCCTTGGCCCTCAACGTGTTAGCCGGCCGGCACCAGCGTTCAGGCACAGCGATGATCCTGTACAGGATAAGTGGACATTTAATCACCTGGGGATCCCCTTCCTAAAGAAGAGCTGTCGATTTTAAAGGTCTACCTCGCATTATTACGTAAACTCAACGCCACGGATGAGAGACGCGACGGCGAAGGGAAACTTAATCTTCAAACTTCCTCTCTCCCTCACATTCTCGACTTCTTTCTTTTTTTTCATCAAATGTGCCAGAAACTTTAATTCAGAAGCGAGAAGATATTATCGTTGATTTATGACGAGATGGCGCGACACTGAGTATTCAGGTATGTGAGAGTACGTGGTCCACTGGGAAATGCCACCTGTCTTACGCATCTTGTCTAATACAGCTACACATTATAGTAGAGGTAGGACTTAAGTAATCAGATATAAGATGACAATTCTCAAGCTGTTTTACACAGAATAACTCTCTGATCAGGATACCCTCTGGAGATGATGACATGGCTCCGATAGATACATCTAGTTCAATGGGTGAGAATATGAATTAATAAATTTTACAATTTTCAATTTACAGAGCAAGAATAACCGCAAGATTACCTTGACACGTTATTCAAACCGCATAATACCCTAGTGCATCTTCATCGCGAAATTGGCAAATCTGTCTGTAAGACAAGGAGAAAGAATCTCTGTGGGATTCACTCGGTACTGCCCAGTGGCATTTAACGTCAATATTGTGGGCGCGTCAACTCGTGGAGGAGGAACAATACTCGGCATCCATCCTCCGCCATTGTTCATCTTGTCTTCGAGTGAATCTTTTTACCCTCGCGTGACTCGCGAATTCACTGGACGAGTCTTTGTTGCATAATATTTTTTTTAATCTGTTTTTGTCAGGCACACCTTGTGTTTACTCTTCTCTGTAGCATAAGCAATGCTTGAAGATTCCTAAAATCATATGTATATATGAGAGAGAGAGAGAGACAGACTAGCTTCAGAGAGTGGAAGAGAGAGAAAGAGTATCGGTATGCTGGGTCGAATCAAAGATGGCGCTTTAGGTATCTCAAAATTAGTATCTATCACGGATCCATGGCGTCTCGTTAAAAGTACGTCGTCGTGAGCGCGCCTTCGCGCGTTAAAGGTTGGATTGCACCATCGCGGAAAGAAAGTCAATGTAAATGCCAGGCGAGGATCTTTCGATTTTGGCAGAATTTGGAAGCGCTAAGATATGGCGCTCAGGTCTGTGCACAAAGATACTAGAAGGAAATTCGTCCTCGTACCGGTCGCCACGGGAATTGCCTAAGTTCTTATAAAAATCGATGTATTCATTTTTAAATGTCAGGCACATCTTAAGGGTTCTCTAGAGTTGACATTTTCAGTCGAGGATATACAATTATGCAGCTAAGAATAATAATGTTATTACAGTATCATTGATATGTCGTAAGTATGCATAATTGTCATATTTATATTCTAAGACAAATATCTTTTATCCAGTTACAGGGAAGTGGTAGAAAATGACAATTAGCGGTTATAGAATAACGGCATTCTTCCTTGATCACGATTACGAGAGCCTTGATTATTAAGTATCCGCATTATCTACTGTGGTGTCAGTAAATTGTGGAATTAAAGGCGAGCCTCCATGTTATGTGTCAGTACGGCCCACTGGTTCACCCTGTATTCTCATTCGGACTATTTCATAAGTTTTGACGTCGATTTCTTGAAGCTAAAATATTTCCTGAGATAAAAAGCTTTCGTTTTCCAGCATTCGATTGAAGTTCTTATTGTAGGTTATGCGAAATGACTTATGGGAGTGTTGAAAAATACTATTTCATTGAGCTTTTTGACCTATGACATATCCTACCGAACTACCTTGAAACTGTATGAGAATTCTTTTATAGGCAGACTGCGGCCCTGCGTGACATATGCCACATAGTGAAAGGAAAGAAGAAGCGGCCTAACGTTGGTGCGAAGTCTTGGGGGAGGGACTTTCCCTGCCCGCGGCCAACCACCTAGAGGATTTGTTTTCAGAGTGTCCAGGACATAAAGCGCCATCTATAAACTCAGTGAGGAAGCATTTTCAACGAGATGATATCAGCTGTTCTGGTAAAAAGTAATTTGAGTGTTCTGCTCGTTGTGAATTCTCACAGTTACCGACTGTTAAACTGTTAGTTACTACGTTTCTACCGTGCGGGTTTTAGACAGGTTTAACCATTCCCGTGCAACTTTTGAGAGGAATACACGAACGCGATAGGTTAATCTTACTTGAATCCGACACGATAAAAAGATAGTTAATGATATTTATAATGCTTCATGGTTTTCTACATTTTTCGTTATTCTTCATGTCAATCTGATTACTGGATTTTAGTATTGATATCGATCTAGCAAAAGAATCTTTTTGTATTTACCATTAATGGTTCTTCAGATTTCTTCTGGTATTATCTGTTGAACTGTACATATATCTAGAAAGGTTTTGTCGATTTTTAAATAATTATCTTTCATTTTAATTATCCAAAAATTATTGCCATCTAAGATATTTCTCACGTACTAATAGATCGTCGATTGTACTTTTATCCCTAAGTTAAATGCATGTTGAAACCATGCATGGGTTTTAAGCATACTGCAATTCATTTCGGCAATCCACAGAATGACTAATTAAAACTACGTTCAAAGTATGGATTTGAATTTAAGCTATCAAGCAGCTTTTTCGTGTATTTAATTTTGCAACCCATTATCGGGTTGCCCTTCGGCAGGCGACTTATACAGGCAGTTCTAAATTGAGAAAACGTCTTTTAACCGAAGTAAAAAGAAAGCCTTGGCTACTTTTACCTGAGCTAATTCCCAAAAATGATTTTTATCAGAAACACTTCCATCAGAGCCTTTAAACTTGATCGATAGCTGCCTTGTATGTCATTATACACTCTAACTGTAACTTTTAAACATTAAACATATTTTTTAGGTCGTTCAATAACTTTGTATTCCAAGTTTTTGAGTTCCTGGGAAAGACCCTCTCGGACAGAATAACGGCAAAAACATCATATTTCGAACAGATCAATATCTGAACACCATATATAACTTCAAGCTTCTTTCAAATGTCAGAAAGCACAGTTCTACAGGTACTGAAAAACCGACCGCAAGGCTCATCCATCCATAAAAATAAAGCTTGCTACAATCGCATGTTAAATCCACGTCAGATAATAAAGATTGGTTCTCTGCTAATCCCAGTAACTAATCTACAAAAGCACTGATTTTTAATTTAGTTTCAAAGCTTAAATAGCCCGCGGCTGGAAGCTGTTCTCTGTGATATTCTCGTGGAAACTCGGTTTGAGTCCGACTTCAGCCGAGCGTACAGTTTCTCGTTATTAAATAAAAATTCTCTCATTATTAAATTAAAATTCAACTAATCCTCCAGGATGATATATATTTAGAGCTCTGCTAAAATTATGAAAGACAATCGCAGGCTACCATGTACTCATAACGTTTATCTTTTCAGAATACTTCCCATGACGAAGAGCTTGCAACCCGTCGGTAATAGTGAAATCCACACCTGTGACATTGAGCCGTGTCACCAAATGGACGGAGGATATTGCGGAACAGTCACCCAAGAAACGTTATCCATAATCGAACAGTCATCCAATTCCTAGCTATTGATAAGCTTTATCGGCACCATTATCAGATATCTGAAAACCAGTGCGCATGGTTTAATATTGCATACAGGATTTATATATTAAATTTACATAACGTTACAAATATATATACCTATGTATATGTATCTATAACTGGTGCAATCTGTTGCATCGGGCTAGACTTACTTTGGGCTCTCTATGTATACATATATACGTATATACATATATCCACACAGAGTAAATGGAATAGAGTGACGGTTGCTCGCTCGATACGAATAGATTATATTTGTTGCATTTTGTAGAAGAAGAGAATATATATATTTTTGTACGTCGAGTCGCGTCCAGTACAGTGATATACGTATATGTATATGATATAATAGACATACTTCCATGTATCCATCCTGCTTTCTTGTTAATGTCAATCACTTTCTATTACAGCAGTTGACGGCTGCACGTTATTATCTGCCCAGGATATTCAGCAGACAAGAAATAACCCTGACGTACTTGACTTTGAGAGCGGATTTTCTTTAAAGAGAGTCATGCAAAGAAAAATGGAGAGTATTTAGAAAAATGTCAACGGTCATATACCTACGTGTATGGTTTAAAATAAATGAGAGACCTCGACTCGATCGGGACATGTATATATGTATACATACTCTTCATACAGATGAATACATGTGAGTATATATAGTATCTCAGTATACTCATATGTCCTAATATATTATATATACGGTTAAGAGAGCACTGGATGCTGAATATATATTCCAGGTATATATGTACGATTGCGCATCGTGACGAGATTTCAAGATTACATGCTCCGCATGCATATTCAAGCGGAATTCTGCCAAGCAGAATACAAGTCCAATATTACTTCTCTTGATCCTATAGATTATATACACATGTATGTACGTATTGCCCTCTGTTGAGTTTTGCTGTGCCTGAAAATTAACCTATATCTGTGTATCTATATATATACTTGGTTAATTCCCTTTAGAGTCTTTGAAGTGACAGAAAGATTCGTTTTCCCAGCTAATGAACGGATTTACACCAGATAATTATCACGGAACCACGTAACTTGCATTACGTTATCGAATTCAACACATTCAACTGTATATCTGATTTTCAATTCCCACATGTATCGGTGCATATTTATAAGGTAATGTTAGGTATTAAGGGTTGATATGTAATATATGTACTAACTCATGTGTGTTTCTCTTTAACAGGATGAATACAGAGCAGAAGGCGTGAAGATGCCCTCGTTAAGATTTCATTCGCAATCTTTCCCCGGGATGGTCTCTCCCGTGGCTCGTATCCTGGGGCGTATTCTCTTCACCGAAACTAACCAAGTGAAGCACCAAGGACTTATTCTTGGACCTGGTATTGTTCTCGTACAAGATAGCAAGTGGTAGAGGAAGATTGGGTTGGAATAAATGAGATGGAAGATAGACAGAATAAAAAACACGAAAGAAAAGAGATATAAAATGGAATTGTAGATGAGGAAAAATTGTTAAAACTTCTTGAGTATACTTGGCTGTTTAATAATTCATGAAGGTTTTTACTAGGATGGCGATAAAAGCTCCACCGGAAGTCCTAGTGGTTGTCTGGATAATTAACCAGTCACTTAATCTTCTACGACCCTTTCGTTAATATGTGATAATTCTTTCTTAGCTGAGTAAACTATAGATAACGCAGCCTGACGACCACTTTGATACTACGTTGATGATAATCAGGAAATTTTTACTTTGAAACCAATTTGTTTGTCATTAATTAAAACAAGCTGCTTCTCTTTATTACTTTCTTATGTAGCTATAAGATTTTATGAACTGCTAACTCACCTCTGTTTACATGAGTATACGTGTACAGGAAGGTACAGAAATACTGGATATATTATTAATGCGTCAGGATATAGATTAACCCATGTTCGCACACGCCTTGTTGCGAACAACCTTTAATCAATAACTGTTATCAGTCATGTTAATGAGAAAAGTTAGCAGAATTATGTTTTGTTTATTGAAAGTTTTGATAGCTATTCGTTAAAAATAAAAGACTGTGTGTAGGCCGGACTGTATTAACATATAGGTCCCAAGTTGCTTGGATAAAAGAGGTAATTTTTTTCAAGCGGTGCCTCATATATTGGCAACCCTGCCATTTGATGTAACGGTACTACGCGTAAGATCGAACTAAGCTATTACCAGTTATAAAAATTTATAATTTTAAATATTACACTATCAACATGTACCTAACAATCTATAGGTATTAATTTCATTAAATAAAAATTTCCCCACTATAAAAATAGAATTAATAGAATACTCCAAGTGATCCATATATCTATGATCTTGGAAAAAAAGTTATACGAATTTAAAGGTACACGGATGAAACATTGTATCATCTTTCGATTACTTTGCACCAAAGCATTGCGCTATCAGCTATAACAGATATTTGCTGTATAACATACATATAGATATACTCCATCAAGAGACTCGGTCGAGTCTCGCGCCAAGTACAGGCAACCGGCTGTACAGGGCGCAGCGCGCCGAGACTCTTTACTCGAGTCAACTCCTTATACCTGTGTTTGGAACAAAATATCTAGTAGCGAAAACGTTATAGGAAATATTGAAAATATAATTAAAATGATGGGCCAGTGCTAGATCATATAATAGGAAAACATGTAGTGACTTATGTACTTGGCCTCAATAATATGATATCAATACTTTTTGTTAGAGGAATTCACAGCAATCCTGTACTTGGCGTAGTTTTTTACACGTAAGTGTTTTTTGGGGGATACGTAAAGACTGCAGTCTGCTGGCAAACCGGAAATGTGTCTACATCAATAACAGATGCATTAAATATATATATATATATATATTTGTTATGACAACATTTCCATATCTTCAGCTAAATAAGATATTTTGATCCTACCGATTTTTTAAGTATATTCTACCCGTAAGGTAGGAGATCTAAATTTATGATGTTAATAAATTTATCTCCTCAATATGAAGAATTCGAAAAATGATTTAAGGGTTTCCGTGTTTATGCCTGCGGCTGCCGCTGTGCACCGGTTGGTCGGTCAATCGATCGTACGGTGGGATCGGCCGTGAGTGTAACAGGAGCTCCTGGGGTAGAGCGGGCTCAGGGCTAGTTCGAAAAGAGAGGTGCTTCGGCGCAGGCTAGACCTTGACCTACGGGGAGGTTTTCGCGCCGGCGTCGCTGACGTCCTCTCATACCTTCATATACATATTCACAGCACTAATACACCACAGCTGCTTTTGCGTACACCCTACCCAATGTGTTTCGCCACAATACCCCTCTCCGGTACCGTTACTCATCCGAACTCCTGGTTGCGTACCACGCGCAAAGTATCAGAACCACCCAACGGCTCGACTCTGAGTCTGCCAGGGGTAGATTGGGAAAACCTCGGTAACGGTTCTCGCTGACGCGTCTCCATCCCCTTCAGTATACGCGAACCACCCTAGCGAGGACAGACGATTCCGCTGTAGTCTCTCCCTTCGTCCTCGAGTAGTCGAGAAAATCTCCAAAAAAGAGAACTACCATGCATCCGACATCAAAAGCATGCAGGTGGGTTGTTTGGAGGATTGGATAATAAATTTTTTTAAATTATAAAACAGTTATGAGGAATAATTTTTGGAATGCTCCTAAGCTTGTATTTTTTTTAATGTTACCTAGACGTGGATGTACAATTTTTTGGGAAATATGTATTTCCATTAAATGTCCTATAACGCAATTTCATTTGTTATCATTTTTAACGACGAATAGTGTTATTTGGAAAAATACTATGTAATATGACTTATACGAAATTATTATTTTCTATGAAATTCGTACATTTTTTACTTTATCTGACAACGCATGGTAATTATCCATGAGCAAGCATGCAACTTTTTTCAAAGTGGTCTTGAACTTTCATAAAAGTCGGGACTTATACCAAGAACGTGTTTTGTACTATAAACATATCCTATATATGTATATACGTATACGAATTGATAAAGAGGGCAACAGTTTCACGTGTTTTCAGAACATATTACCACAGTCTTACTCGCTGATAGTCAACACAACCAAAAGTGATAGAGCAGCGAGTCTGAATTTCAGGAGTAGGTAGACTCGAGTCGCGTGACTCAAATAACACCCTAAATATTTTTATCGATTAGCCAGCAGTAGTCGCGGCACATTTCGAAATAATTTCGAACGTTCTTGAGTGTACACGACAATGTATATACATATATATAGTGATAAAGTTTCTTCAACGTTAACAAGAAAATCCTTGCGCAGCAAGTTAGCTAAAACCAGAAACAACAGAACAAACTTCTGATAATTCTCACTTTGGTGCGAAAAATAAGTAATTTCCAAATATATTTTATATCGGGTGATAAAGAAAATTTGTATCTATGTTACTAGTGCGATTGAAGAATACCTCGGGAAATCGATACAGCAAATACAGTTATTCAATAAATCACTCCTGTCACAAAGAGAGCCAAGCGATTCTGATCAAAGCGACATAGACAAAAGGTAGCGTCCAGTTCAACTTGACGCAACAAGCTGCTCTATTACAATTACAAATCGATTACATGCTGCTAGTATCTGATCTAATTTAACAGTTAGTCAAAATTTCTGAAAGAGAATAATTCATGTTGACTCGTCAACCTTTTTTTTATGAACTCATAACTTCACTATGTAGCAGTTACCCCCTGGATCAAATCATATGAAAGGTTTTTTAGATCTAAGAAAAAATCTTCTAAACGAGTGATTTTCGATTAGGCTTCATCAGAGACCAGAAAATGACTACCCATGAGGGTATACATTTAAAAAACATACAAAGTGTATAGATGTATAATCAGCGAGTCTCGATAAATCAACTGCAATCATTGCCTACCACAAGGTGGTACTATTATACATATACGCATCGTATCGTACCTGGTATAATGGTATCGCTCGTTAAGGACCTCCTTAAGCTTGCAAGGTGCTTTAGAAACTCGTGGAGAACCGAGGTCGATCGATAGAGAGGTTTCAAAGTCGATGCGTCCCAGGGGTAAAGGTCGGCGTGTTGTGTCGTTAGACGGGGTCACCCAGTCCAGTTGATCAGAGTTATAAGGCGCATGTAAACAAAATTAGTACATCTGGTTCCTTATGTACTACGTATGATTATAGTAAGGTTTACTATGTTTTTTTTTAGAAACCATTGAGAGAGCTGGGCCGTCTATGCCTGGGTACTAGCGGGCAAAACACAACGGAGCTGTGCTCGGAGGCACGTGGTGCACTGCCACTTCTTCAGGTATGGCCCAGTGAATCGCCAAGAGGAGAGGCCGATGGTCAGGCTCAGGCATTTGTCTTCCCCGATGCCCAGGAAAGCGTCAACGACAGCGGTATCGAATCTATTCAGGTGAGATAGAGATTAGGTATAAGATTATTAGACAAAGTTTAAATAGAGGTTAGGTGACTGTACAGTATATAGTACGTATCTAGTAATTATGTATATTTATTAATCCCATAGGCGTCGCCGTCGCCATGCGGCGTGGTCTGCAGCAGCTCAACAAATACGCCTCTGCAGTCACGCAGACCTAGTCTACTTCATCCGGATCATGCCCGGTTACATCTTCATCATCTTCATTATCACCATGTTATTGCTGGTTCGAAAAGTCCACCCTCACCGGATAGAACTTCCATCGACGAGGATCCACCTCCAGGACCACCTAGCCCTTCTAGCTCGACTACCAGCAGTCTTCGTTCTATGCCGAGCTCCGCCATGGCCTCCGTGCATTCTCAGGATAGAAGACGAAGTAGCAGGTACATGAACTTAGTATATGACTCTGCTCCAGGGTGAAATAAGTTTGATCAGCTTTTAACAGTCTAAAGTACTTGATTTTATGAACCTGAATTTAATCTTGATCATGGTGCTTCTTCCAGGTACAGTGTCTTCGACGCCCTGGACTTGGAATACGCTCTTCTTCGTGCCGCGGCACGTGGTTCGGTCGGACCTTACTCCATGTCGGAGTCCTTGCACAAGCTAACCTTCACTCAGAGTCTGGCCTTTCCCGCCTTGGCGCGTGGCTTAGCATCCAAACAAAGCGTGCCAACTCAACGACCTCAGCAACACTCAGAAAGCGGAATGAACGCCTTCGCCAAGGTGGTTACCGCCCTTGTATTAATGTTAGTCAGCGTACTGGTATTCGGTGTTGTGTATAAGTTTGTGAGGACGTGAGGGTGGCTGCTGGTACCTGGCCACCATACAGAAGCTTCACAGGAGTTTCACCGTGCCGATAACCTGGGTCAGGATGCCAGCGATCCCTCCGAAGACGATGCGTGATCGCGACGCAAAGCGTCACTGTTAGGACGCTACGTGGTTCATGAATTAGAATCTTATATATATCTGTAATTATTTCAGGGAGCGATCGTAACGATATATATACATATATGACGTTCAGATAAGGAAATTAAGGCTTAGGTAGATCGTTTATCAATTAACTATTCATTAAGTGATAATCAACCATTTTTTCCCATCTACATACACGCATATATATATATATATTTCACGGACCGGATGTGGCTGCCATATCTGAAAATTCCGGAAGTCACATTCGCGCCACTATGACTTATACAAGTGCTTTATTCTTCTCGATGACAATCGCTAAAAGCGTCCATTGGATAATGATATTTTGTAAACAATGAAAATCGGCAAATTTATTGTCGATAGGCTAGATTATATATTAAAAAAAAAATTAAAAACTATTATATCCTTGATATATCAAACGTGCGCGTATTAACGCGCGATCCGTTGAATTTTTCGAGATTTCGCCGAAAATCCATTGGTTCGATTAGACGAGAGTGAAAGTGTTAAGAAAAAAAAAGTCTAGATGAATTCACAAATTCGATATTTCCTCAAAGGAAGTTAATCTCGTCGTACAAGGACTACGTCTGTCCTGCACCTCGATATATCGCGTACTTCATACATATGTACCTACATATTGCTATTTACGTATAATAATAACAATAAGTAAAATTATAGCTATGACCTTGACGTTGCGCTTTTTTTAAAAAAAAAAGAAGCAACGAATTTCTATTATAATCATATAAATTGTATACACAACAATTGTCGATGTGCGCAACAATGATATAATCAATGATCGCAAACCCTTTATCACGTTCTGTATACTGTCTTATTCAAGAGAAAGAAAGATATAAGAAAGAAGATATATGTATATATACTTTTGCGATATCATCCGTTGGTTTTGACAATAATAATAAAGTTCATTTACTTGTGTCAAAAACGTTTAAGCCGTACCGTACCGATTACGCCAACCACGTAAGTCGTGTGCGAGATAACGAGTAATCAGAAAGGCCGAGATTGGGTGAAATGATTAAAAGAAATAAATGCACTTACAATAGGAAGGAAGCATATGAGGTAATAGAATAATCGAAGCTCATATTGAACTATTTACGTCGCTGTGTAGTTTATTCGTTCGACGCGGGAGTGAAGTTTCTCAATAGTTTTTTTTTTCTTCTCTCATTTGACTCAATAACTTACAATGCATTTTCATAAATCCTTCTCACACCTAGTGCTAGGATATCTACAGTGATATTTTTTAAAACTTAGTTTCCCTTCTTCGCTCTCTCCCTCTCCCTCTCTCCTTGCTGGTGACAATCTTTCTAACCTCGTATTACGTCGTTCCACGTGTTCCTTGTTTCAATCTTTTCTTTAATTATTTTTTAAACCTATTTTATGCTTCACTCGCTCAAACTATTCTCTTCGTTCGATCCTTATTTACTTTTCATTTTATAATCGCCTTTTCATCCTTTCTATTTATTTACACGAAACTCCGTTTATTGCTAGTTTACAAGGATTTTCATGTGCGCCTGTGTCTTTGATAGTGTGCCGGTGTCTTTTCTCGCAACAACAGTGGCCGTGCTTCAGGGGCGGATTACATGGGACTCAGGATGGGTCAGGGGCGAAAGGCTGTAACAGTTAGATATGGAAGATATTGAAATTCTCACGGTAGACACGAAGAGAAATAATGATATTTTCTTTCTTCTCCTTACCCGACTATTAAAAATTTTTTTCTTTTCATCTTCTCTCTTTTCTTCTCTTCTTGTATTTGCTTGAAACTCTTAGAAAAGAAATTGCGAGGCTCTCCCGCATTCGAGGCCCGCGCTTAGGCCGTACGTACTCTTTCACGTTTCCTTATTATTTCTTTTTCAACGGACATGCATGAATTGTATGTGTAATCGTGTACGTTTCACCACTTGCCTTTTCCTTATCACTTTATATACGTGATAAATCAACGATTTTTAATGACTGGGTGAAAGGGAGATGAGAATTTTTATACGAGATAACCACTGGGTTTTGCCCCTCATTTTTTTACTGTTTTTTCTTTTCCTTTTTTTTTTAGTAAAAAAATAAAGTGTCGACGACCCACTTTTTAAAATCTTTCTTTCATCTGCATTCTCCCTCTCTCTATCTCTGTCTCTCCTCTTTGCGCGAAATCTTAAATAATAATACTTCTGCTTTTTTCGATTCATTTCTTTCCTTCTTTCGATAAAGTAAAAGAGAGGCCTGTACGAATCGCGATAACGGAGCTAAATAATTATTCTACGACTATTTTATTTGTATAGTTTGTGCCATTTATGCGTTTCTCATTTTTCATTATTCCCTGTTCTATGACTTCTGACATTCTACCACTGTAGAATTCTGTGTACATAATTAATCAGTATTAATTAATCGTCCTTACGCATTTTAATCTCAATAATGATCACACAAGATCAATGAACTCCCTCATAATTGAATGAACAACCTCGCGCATGTCATTCGGTAAATATTATCTCGATTATCTTCTATCAAAAAAATCTGTCGTTTCGCAAAGAAAAAAAAAGAGCATTATTAAGCAAATTTTACTCATTATCGTTATCATTGATAATAAAACAGACTACTAGAAAAATAACTCGATTTTCACGAGCGTAAAGGATGATAAATTTTCATTAATTTTCACTGAATCATTTCCTCCTCTGATTTTCATTCCTCGTCTCGTAGTCATTAACGCAATTAAAAATCGTTACATGCTCGATTCCCGTCAACCCGTCGCCAGATCTACGCTAATAAATCCGCTAATCACTAATTAACGCTAAAGTTTCGATGCACCTTCGCCACGCGGAGTATACGCTCGTGTGAACACAATGAACAGTAGTAGTAAATAGCATTTAGTATAATAATAGTAATAATATTATTTAGTAGTATCAATTATTAGTAGATAATAGTGACGGCGTTCGGTTTGGTATTAAATAGTAAATATCGGCAATGATGACGGTTACGCAATGGGGATATATCAATTCACAATGATATAATCAATCGATCACCATTTTGATAGTGGTACAATGATAATTTTCTAATAATACGACATCACGTACGTGTACCGCGTCTTACGTAGACCTTTATGTATTACGAGCTATATTCTATGATTTGAAGTTCTTATTATTTTTTTCTTTCTTTTTCTTCATCTCCATCTTTTCCTGACCTTTCGTTTCCATTGCCGCTGCTGTTTCGCTCTCTTTATTTCAGAGGAACGAGCCCGCTCTCTTTTGTACGAGATTACTTTACACCTGGTTTGTCACTTTATTTTTAGACGGTTAAGCAAAAGAGAGTGAAGAGAGTAAGTCGTGTTGCGATCGAAGCCTCTTTACTTTATTACGGACGATGTCTCTAGCTATGTGCTGCTCTGTTAGGTTAGGTTAAGGGTGTTGGGTCGGGGTCGGTGGGTTGATGCGAAATTTTACTGTGTGTATTGTGAGTGCACGTGTACCCAGTCTGTGTAATGTGCATGCGCCTTTAGCCGTGTTCATATTTTGTCATTGTAATATGTACGTGTGCGCAAGTATTCGACCCCCTGATCCTGATGGAAGATCGAGAGGGACAGAAACACCCTTTCTTGTGAGACCCTTGCAAAGGGTAGCTACCACTCGACGTGCGGAGTTCGTTATCGAGTAACTGTTGTTTTACTCGAAGAACGAGAAATATTTATACGAGTAGCGGGAACAGTGAGTCCCGTGAGACGTCTCTATAATTTCCTTTAAATTCTTTGTCGCTTTCTCGCTTGCCTTTCTACTGATAAATTATTGGATGAGTTGGCTCTACTGGGAGGTCGCTGTCCAGGTCCAGGGATACGCCATCTTTCGTTACTAGGTAATGAGTTAGTAGTTGGCCTTTACCCTTGACGAAGACTAGACCTCGCTGCTCGAAACCGAAACCAAACGGCTCCAGGATCTTTCGGGTCTCGTCGGTTACCTGGACGCATTGAATCATTTGTTGGGTGCAAGAAGTAAGGTTATGTAATGGATTTGGATTTTCTTTTTTACTCACTTGTATACAACCAACTTTACCCGTGCTCTCCATTCTTGATGCTACGTTCACAGTGTTTCCCCATATGTCATAGTGCGGCTTCCTGGCACCAATTACACCGGCCGTTACGGGGCCGTGATTAATTCCCATCTTTAAGACGAAGTGATTGAAGCTTTGTTCGTTTATGCTTGAGAGAGCTTTCTTCATTTCTAGGGCGAATTCTACGAGGGTGGAGAGATGAGTCCATCTCGGGCCTTCCTCCGGTTCTTCCGAGTCGGTGATCCCGGATGCGGCCATGTAAGTTGAGCCTATCGTTTTTATCTTGATGATATCCTTGAATTTATGCTGATCGAGGATCTGGAACATTTTTTTTTATTGTAAAATAATAATTCATTTCATTTCTCATATCTTTGCTATTCACCCGATCAACTCACCGCATCGAAGTCTGATATAACCTCGTTTAGGAATCTCAAGCACTCGAGGCCTTGATTATTAATACTCTCCTCGCTGTAGAAATCAGCAAAATTGGGCATACTCGCAAAAAGGACACCGACCTCGGCGTAGCTTTGACTGTAGAGGTCATCGTGATACCTGGCAGTAGATAGGAAATAAGCTGCTACGTGAGGCGGTAAAATATTATAGATAAGAGCGCCGTTTCGTCTCTTCATATCAGCAGCCCGTTCTCTCTGTGCGACAACCTCGCGACCCCTCAAATACAAAACCCTCCTGGCTTTTTCCATCTGGAATAAAAATCAAAGGACCCCGCTAAATTTTTTAATTTAAAAAAAATCTTTTTGATCCGGAACAGTCTGACTTAGTTAGCTTGTTTCGAGATCATCCGCCGTGAATTCCACTTTTACGAAATAAGTGCGTTGTTTGTTGTCAAATGGCTGGATGTGGGAAGCGGCTGTCTGAAAAGCCCGCGGCGCACAAGAGAGCGAAAGAGAGATGAGCAGTCAGAGAAGGAGCGAGACAGTGTTGCTAGTCGTATGAGAAGTTAGATTGGTTAGGAAGCAGCAACCGCACAGGATGCTGAAGAAGGTGCGATGAAGTTTGAAAACACGCGGCCCTGTTTTACGGCCGCCTGGAGCTAGGCAAATTACGTAAAAGCAAAGGTAAACAGGAGATGAATAAGCGTCGCGACGCTAGGCGAAAACGATCCACAAGAAATACGGAGTCCCCATGGTGATTTAAACACGGAAATAGCTCGTTATGCCGAACCTATATATCTCACAATACAGGTTCTACTCTAATCCTGTTTCTCTCCGTTTTCATCCCCTACGGCTATGTACTGTACATACGTTCCATGACTCTCACACAGTATATATAGATATATTAACCCTCATACGAGAGTCGAGGTACCCAGAGACCTTGTTTCCAGTTAAAGTTTCTTTTTCATTACTTGCGTAAGGGTTAATTAGCAAATGTATACGGAGAAGAATGTGCTACTGTTATTGCTACTAGAATTTTTAACTGTCCAAATACTGACCATTGCTTTAGTAATCATTTTTCTGCGTATATCAATAATTAATATATATATGCAAGGTACTCATACATGATGACATTCAGTGGAAAACATAGAGTGTGAGTATATTCGTCCCGGGTTTACGTCAGTGACTGAGCTCATTTGCCAGTTAAATTAATCGGGACCCAATCTTCCCGGAGGGTTCTCCCTGCGCCGCTTCTGATCGATTATGTCCTGGAGTTACGTAGGTGGGTAGGTAGATTGCTACTGGGTCACCCTAACCCTCTTGTTGTTGTCGCCATACGACTCTTTCGCAATTCGTACACGCAGCGTGTGGTCGATTGAGTTTTTCAGGCTTGCTTTCTCCCTTGATTTGAGACTCAATCTACCCATGGCTTTGTGAGGTTAGATAGGAGAGTGGAATACGGTCTGGGAACGATGCATGACGGTCCTAGGACGTGTTTCGTGAATTTATCAGGATTGTGAGAATACTTACGTATCTGGCGACAATCACCAGAGCTACGGCGATAGTGGCGAGCGTCGCTGAGAGTGCATACTTCAAGGGGAATGGTACGGGTCCTGGTAGGTTCGATGCGCTATCCTCTCTGTCTAGGCTAGGAGCAATGAGCATTATATTCATGGCACACTGAGCGCCAGCCAGGATGCCCATTAGCAATGCCTTGCCGAGGTAGCTTATATAGGTCGGCATGGATATGACCACCAGGGCCAGGACGCCGATGTACGAGTAGTATGAAGGATAAGGACAACGTGGGACCCAGCCCACGGAGACGTTAGTAGGAGGTTCGACCTCTTCATTAATTGCGCAGTTACCCTAGACAAAAATAATATTCCGTTAGTACACGACTTCAGAGTACGTATAGATGAGCTTGCACACGGATGTCGTACCATGTCGAGCAACAAGAAGACACCTAGTGAAAATATCATGAGTAGTGCTAGAGTCCTTCTAAGCCATCTAGCTCGCACAGCACTTCCTAGACAAGTGGCGCCGGCAAGAACTATTCCGAAGAGAGTGACTACTCCGGCACCGCCCCAAGTAAACGGTCCCCAGGGTTGTAACTTCCAAACGGGGGCTGCGCACACCATCACCAAAGGACCGCCAAGCAACGACAAGGGTGAGAATGCTTCTTCAGCGCTATGGAAGGCCATTTCCACGTTGGGATCCTTAAAGTGTAATGTCAACCAGTATGCGTGACCTTTCAGCTCAGCACCGCCACCTGGATAAATGATAAAATATCTATAAATAATAATGCATTCTCGAAGCAGTCGTAGATAGGGGATTTTGAACAGGGCTCCTAACAAAAATATTTAACTTCCTATCGATAACAAGTTCATTACATTGTGACATTTATGACCGTAGACTATAATTCTGGTGGGTCATCAAAGAGTGATAACAGCCGATAATACACGTGCGTCAACCGTTAACGGAATAATGATAATGGTTCATAAGCCTATAGTAATAGGTCAATCACCTCGACTGTCTAATTCTTTACGTAGCCGCTGCCGGAAGTCCTCGGAATCTTCCTTGTTCCTGCAGTCGATGTCCTCCATAATTTTTTGGGAGGATTCAGCATCGGCCAGAGACGCTAAACTCTTCGTCACGGCTGGCTTAAAGGGTTTTAAGGCCCTGACGATGAAGTACGTGATGAGGCCAGCTTTTTGAAGAGCCTCTTCACGCTTCTCACCGTAAGCTGGTTCCACTTCGAACTCACCATTGAGGAAGCTCAGGGTCGCATTCGAGATATGAACCCTCCTTCAAAACCGATAAAATTTCTTATCAAGAAATTGAAAATTTATATTAAAACGAATACCGTTATCGTTATGCTTATTTTCCTATAAAAACTGGATGATAATTTCTTTTATCATACTGAATATTCATTAAATGTATATATTATATATATTATATTATTTCTAACCGGTACAAAAATGGCGACAATAAAGCCAAGGAATACTCTAGCATCGAATCTCTGCTTTATCTCATCCCTATCCAAAAGTCTCACCCAATTTGACTCCTGCAGTATTATGTAAATACAAGATGATACTATCACGTGTAATCACGAACGGTATCTCATCCTTGTCAAGATATTTAAGACCTTATTTATTTATCCCTAGCATGTTATATAGCTCCCCGGGATAAACTAGGTAGAGCAAGTAAGAGATATACGTAACACGCATATAACTCTCATTGTGAAAGACGAAGGATCTTTCAGATTACGTTTTGGTACGATACTTCACTCCCCCCGCCCGGCCCGCACAGATTCTCTTATCACGTACGCAATTCTCTTGGTAATTTCCATAGAAAGATATAAGACAGCTGAAAGTTCTGTTAGGCCAAGGTAGTTTTACTCACCCTGCCATGCCACTGCTCTCCATTTTGTTTGCCAATTCCACATCCTTGCTATAAACATCGAATTGCCACTGTCTCTGACCCAGTACACCAGCCAGGACGGCACCCGTATGTATTCCTACCCTCATGTCAACGGGACTGTTGGTAGTTTGTTGAACGTACTTAATGGCGTCAACCATAGACAATCCCATATGTACACAGAGTACAGCGTGATCGGGTCTTTCTACAGGCGCGCCACTTATGCAATAGTAACAATCGCCAAGGATTTTGATACGCAGTTGTTCGTATCTGTGAATGATTGAAAAACAACTCCATAATTTATATAGTGATATATAGGAAGGTTTAAATAGAAATGAAAAGTATAAGTATTTCAGATACGGTAGCCAAGTCCGACATAATCTCTCTTGGTGTGTCAGTATATTGAAATTACCGTTCGCTGAGTTGATCGAATCTTGCGAAGAGCTCGTTCAGGATTTTGACAAGTTCACTGGCGCTATACGTGGATGATATCGCCGTGAAGCCAACGATATCGGCGTACAGGATGGAAACGTTCTCGTGCCTGGACATATAGATTTTTTTAAACTGCGTATCCAGCGAGGCGCCTAAATCCTGACGCATTTTAACAGCTACGTGCTCGGGTAGGACGCTCAACAGGAGTCTCTCCTGCTCTGCACTCTGTTCCTCGATCACCAGCTGAACTTCGAGACTCTGTCTAGTCTCTAGAAAGGCTCTTCTTTGCTGAAACTCCGCCAGGGAGTAACTTGAGGCGCCTAAAGCAGCGGCGCCAGCAGACAGGGTGACCGTCAAGATCTGTAGCGAGTGGAAACGAGACAGAAGACTTTACGTTAGGCGCTAAATTTAAACTGTACTTAAAGTAGAGGAAGTTTAGAGTCTGCAAGGTTTTACAGCTTCCATACGGTATCCGGGGCACAGTGATATTTCGATTTAGCATTGACTTTACTGTAGTTTTGATTTAGTCATTGGGAAGTTACGCACGTACTGGACCAGTAGATAGCAGAATATCGCAGTTTAGACAGTTTTTATTAGACTCGATGCTTATTCGTTTATCGTAGAGTGGCAGAGGGCAACGGTCTGGATAAATGTTTTTTATATCCACACATCTACATACAGTAGCACGTAACAGAGTTCTGCAGCCGCGCGCGTCTGGACATCTAAAGTGAATTTGAGTACCGTCAGTGGCGCGTCGAACGGCAAACCAGCCGGATTAACCGTGAAAGTAACATTGTGAGAAAAGTGTATAGGGATCTGTGATTATTGATTAACTCTAGGTTATATTACACGGGACTGTTACGACGTCTAGGAATTGGAATTTGCATACCAGGACGTTGATGGGTGTCTGAGCTGGTTCCTTGGAGAGGCCGACGACGGTAACGATGTATGTAGCAGCAGTGCCAAAGGCCAGAAGAGAACAGAGGAAGATTCTTAGAGGTAGAGTGGCGAATAGAAGATATAACAACAGAAGAAGCCATCCTAAGCCGTCCCTGGGTGTAACTTCGGTGACCTTAAGGAAGGGTTGGGCCAAAAGTTGGCCAATGGATAAACCCCAGGCAACGTGCGGCACTAAGGCCCAGAGTGCGTCCCTGGCTCTGGTACCACGTTCTGCCCAGGCGAGAAGGCCAAGATTTAGCCCCAAGAAGACAGCTGTGAGACTCCGGGCTGGCAATTCGGGCTCAGGAGATGCCAAGGTGAACGCATCGTAAAGCACTGCCGAGAGCAGGAAGCACTGGAGGCCGCCACGGCGTTGCTGTAGCGAAGAAGCTCGATACAGTCTTTCCAACTTGGAGCTAGAGAAGCTTGTCTTAAGGAGATTCGAAGGTCTTCCGGAGTTGAGGTAGGACTCCTCGTTGGAGGTCTCCAGTCTCTGCGTCATGGTTATTCTAGTTGGTGGTGTCTTATAGCAACGATGTTAGGATGTTTACGAAGGAGACCGTTTATGAGGTGTTTATAAAGGTCCTCTCACAGTGGCATCTTGCCAGGATACTGTTTCAACTTCTTCTGGACAACCCACTCTCTCTCTCTTTCTTTTTCTCTTTTGAGACACGAGATGCTCTTACGGACTATTACCTACTGGTACTATCACTATTTCTGTGAGAGCTGTTTTTCTCTCTCTCTCTTACTTTCCACTCCCCTCTCTGTCTCTCTCTCTTTTTTCTCTCGCTAACCAACTGAAGCACTTCGTTAAACAAAGTTGTACGTTCAGTAAGCGCGTACTATCCCGGCACCGAATAATCGCACACGTCTAATCCCGACCACCGGTTCGTACAAAACTCCACCTTGGTAGACCTTCTGCCCGCCCCTTCTCCTTGTGCCGTAGCTGATCCTTCCCTGGGAGTTCGTGTGGCTTATCCTCAAGGATCATCGGTAACGTAGCTCAGGAATTATCTCCGACCGTACCAAGGAATAGGGGTTCACTTGGAACGATATTCTTTTAATAAATAAAAGTGTCGATTTTTATCTACTCTCCAGGGCGCCACTTCAAGCCCCGTTGGTCTCGACAAATCTTACCCGGTGCGTGAGCAAGTTAATGGAAAGTAAAAATGATTTATCCAACACTTCAACTAATATCCCGGCCCTGTCCACGCCGGATCACCTCACCGGAAGCGGGCGAGTTATCTCACCCACCTCGTCGGCGAGGTGTTGGATCACGGTCCTGGTGGAAGGTCCTGGTCTTGCCTTCCGATCCGTCAAGCCACGGTGTAGAATGCACCGCCCGCGCGCGGGGGACTGGCCGGGCTACTAGCAGTTCCTCTAGTTCCTCCGGTTCATCCAGTGGACGCTCCGTCCAGGCTTGCGCCATAGGAGCTCACCATCCCCGGGTCGATATCAACCACCACAACCCTTACAGCCATGTAGCGAGCGCCCCACCTAGCTGAACTGTGCTACGCTATACCCAGAGCCACAGTACCTTCTACTAGCTCATCTTCCTAATTTTCTTTAGGGTGTATTACTGATTCCCGACTTGGTTATGGTCTCTGATCTCCTGTTTCTTTTGTTTAGATAAATAAATTTTTTATTGATATCACTCATGGTCATTTATTGCTACACTCGTGTTCTACTGAGCTACTACGCATCTGACGCTACGCATTCTTCAGGTATCCTATACATGCAAGCTCAGCTTCCACAAGTCGACTTCCTGGTGTACGGATCTACGCATTAAACTGTACCATGCTTCCTGTGATGAATGCCTTCTGGATAGACAATTATTACCGGCGATAAATTATCCAGGAGTCCGAAATATTCATACAGGCGATACATCTAGGAATATTTCTGTACTCCGATTGTTCACTTCTACGATTCTTATATGTACAGGAGTCTGGCAGGAGCTTTTGAAACTTCTCCAAGAATTCCGATCGTTGCGGAAAAGTCCTCTGGCTACATCCGAGGATACTTTTCCGCGATATTCTACTCCACTTCCTCTTCTACAACTTCTTGAATAAACCATACTTATCAACGAGAGTGTACCAGGCTAATAATCACTGTACGCATCGGCTACCAAGTTACCAGGTACGTCACTACAATTTTTCTTATACTTCTTCTTCGACTCTATACGTCTGTTTAACTTTTAACTATACCTACATTCTGAACACTGTGTATACAGAATTTCAGTATGGGTACGACGTACCGCGAACCTCTGGTCGATTATCAGACGCAATTTCGTAGCACTCACCGACGCGACACCAATACGAGTTTAGCTGAATGGGAATAAATAAAAAGAACCATTAATAGGAGAAAGACATATGCATTGCATAGAAATGGCGCTTTTATCACAAAAAGAGAAGAAACAGTGCAGGAAGAAAAGACACGTGAAAATTAGTGATATTGATCGTACAACCTACTCGACGATAATATTGATCCCTATCGATAACCCATATTCAATTTAGTCCTGAATTGTTTTTAGTATTTCCTCAGGGATGACATAACCGAGCTGATGCATTTCCTTAACGACTCTAGGTACCTTGCTGAGGGCGTCAAACCACATGTGATAGGGTAACTCGGCCCGGGTACCGCCATACTTTTTCGGTAGTGAAGTTGGCGACACGTGTCGTTGGAGACTCTCCATATCATCCCCATGGAAGAATATCCTGTCGCGCATTCTAGAATCTATCAGTGGCCTGAATACTGTAAAAATAGCGTCGAATACCCAGGACTGATGAAGTATGTGAATCGCGTGGGTTTTCATCGGAAACGCTGTGACCATTAGAGACAAAACCATGCTTGCTACCTGAAGTAAAGGAATTAAGAAAATTATTATGATTTTTAATATTATAATTATATATTTATTTGTATTTACGGTGATATTATACCTGTGGTGTTATACTCCATGCATGAGTCATTGTGATGCCTTCCAGATCAAAGATAACGACGCCACCCAAAACCTGTGCTGTAGGCTCCAGTATACCTAGTTCCAATATGATAACGGTGGCCTTGAATATTTCGTCTATCGGATATTTCCTGGGATCCCAATTACCCATTCGATATATCATCATCCTTCGACCACACTGAGTCCTGTAGGCAGGGACTGTCATCAGATCATCGTCACCAATGTGTCGCATCTCCAAAGGATTCACGTCCCGATGGATATCAGGATGTTCTTCCTTGAAGTTGAGGTAGTTGACTATCTGTTTAAATGACATAAGTTTATATTATTATATAATACAATTTTCATTCGCTTCGTCTCAGACTCATATAGCGCACAGCATGCACAGAGTACAGACACTTCCTTGTCACGGGCGTCTATGCAGATTTTCTTCGATCCCGTGTAATTTCTTAGTGACAGTTATGGTTGTTGTGTAAGCGTTTCGAAAGTATGGATTTCTCATTAGCTTAAGTTCGTCATGGCTATTTATTTATACTTTGTTACATTTACTATGTGCAAGTGGAAAGCTGATTCTCTCGTCCAGTTATAATTTTTGTATCCACTTTACGCGAATGACGGATCAACAGCTGGAATTTCTATCGCAAAACCGATCAACGAAAATTTTACATTTTAACAACCGGTATATGTTTTTCGAGTGAGAAGCACGTCGCTGGTTGAGAACTAGGCAGTAGGCAAGGTTCCATATTTGGAGAATAAAGTTATCTGCCTTTTGAAGCGCTCAATGATTTTTGTATTTACGTCATAAGAATTAATACGATTCACCTTGACATTAGCACCTTACTATGTATAGATGAAAGAATTACGATTTCATATGTCCTTTCGTTAATCAGAATACGAAGGAGATGGCTGTACTGTTATAGTGCCTAATGAAAATAAATCTTCGGTATCTAAATTCATTTCCATTATGGATTATTATATTGCTGTTTTATCGCTCATCTTTTTGGGGGGTTTTCTTTTCTATACGACTTACCAATCGATGTGCACGATGCACGTTGAAGTTCCTGGCTCGTAGAAATCTGATCAGGAAGGCGTCGTCCATTCTATTCGGCAGGCACTCGCCGCGCTCTGCATCGACGATACGTCATTCGTGTGAACCGTGAAGGATTCTCATTCCATTCACTATAGTCTATAAATTCTAATTACCGTATATCATGTCCCGTAGTTCCTGCAGTGTCAGGCACTTGACTTCCTCCGTCTCGCCGAGTTCCTGTCTCGCGTACTCCATCACTTCCGCCGACGGTTCCTCCAGATCCAACGTGAGCTCCTCGTCGTCCCACTTGTCGGTGGTGCTCGATTGTGGCATTTTTACTATTGATTCGCTTGTCTTGAGGGATTCCCGCGTGACGTCATTCGACAATGACAATTTCGATTCCTTGTTATCAGTCGATATTACAGAATCGCGGGGATTCTCAGCGCAGTTATATTCCTCGGCCCGCGGTAGACGCTCGCTCGATTCTTCCTCCTGGCTTTCAAATTTCCCGCTTCTTCTATCGTCCGATTTCTTTAGACACAAAACGATCTCGTTAGGCTCCTTAACTGATTTTACGTTCAATTTCGTTTCCTTATCTGTCACTGTTGACTTTTCTGTTTCCATTGCGACCCTCTTACGTAGGTATATAAACTTGTAAATACTTCAGACAGCATTCGATTAGGCCCGATCTCTCTCTATTCTTGGCGATCTTTCCCGAAGTTACCCGAAAGTTATTACATCAACTGATGGTAATAATAATAATATTGGACACTCGTGAAATCCAAGTGTATTTGAACTTTTTTTGTAATCGTTCCGAGAACCGAAGGAACAAGACAAAAATAAGACGATGGGCGCAACTAACATCAAATCAACTCAGTCACACGTACAGGCGCCTTCGACATCCCACTGTTAATACTTTTACGAAACTCCCTCGGCTTTCTAAACTCTCGAATCTAGAAGTAATTTCGAGTATTGAATTTTTAATGTTGCGATCACTTCTACAGGAAGTCCGTTTTTTGTCACGTGATATCGGATAACGATTAATATTGATATTTAAAAAAATACAAGAATGCAACAACTGCTCACTGCGGTAAGCAACTCCCAATGCAACAGTCACTGTCGAAAGGGCGTGATGCAACTGACTTTACGCAGATATGCACCATGACTGTAACGTGCTGGAATGAAAACGCAATTCCCTCTTACCGGCTAAGACCTTGTGGAATACGCTGGTTTGTTGCGGTGCAAAATGATAGCGAAGAGAATTAATAAAATAAAGAGTAATAAAAGAAAGGAAAAGAATCCAGACAGTTTATAAATGTTGAATACGTCTTTAAGATGCCTAAAAGGAAAACCTGTGTTGCATTGGACGTCTTGAAGATGACTTTTGAACGTTATGTGTCTCTTAAGGAATAATCGGCTGCTAATAAAGGTATTGAATATTCCTGGATTTGAGTCTTTAAATTATACTGGTTTTAAATATGCATCTACATATATGAAATAAATTATTGTTATGTGCATCGAATTTACCTGTTACTTAAAATTCTTCGATTCAATGTTTATCTCATGAAGAATAACCAGCATAGCTATAGAGTATACAAAGGTTCTATACTCCATTCCCAAAGTAACCGCCGGTTACGAAAGCTGGTCAGGGTCACCCTGTTGCATCCACGGACTGATGCTTTCACTAACTACACCCATCACTATATCTATATATATCCATGGCTGGATACGCGTATACGTATGCTTATAATATGACATGTTTATATATGACATGCACGTAGAAACAAAGTCGAAAGCAAAAGGGTTGATACTGTAAAAACTACTAAACGCTTCAGTTAGGTTGCATTCATTTTGAGATGATAAGATTTTAGATAAAATACACCATAGTGCATATGCATGAAAATGCATCCTTATATGCATCTACTGTTTTCTGCAAAAGCATATAGACGTGGAACTCGGTTGCCAAAATGAATAATACAGGTTGGTATGAATTAAAATAATTATTCGATTTTCTCTATGGAAAATTCTTAAGAATTATTTGTTTACACTGATGTTACCATTTTCTTTGAATTATATTATCGTCGATATTTTTGACTCTCTGTTTTTAATATTAAGCCCAAATTTTCAGACTCCGACTCACCAAAGTAAAATCAAATCCGATGACTTAGTTTAACGGTACCGACTATCACTCACGGGTCAACCTAAGCAGACTGATCAGTGCGTTAAAGCTTGGTTCAGCAGCAGCGAAATCCTTATGGCTTCCGCGTTTGTGATCCATGCCGAGAAAGTTGCAGCGTTTGGCGCAATCACCTTTCTACTCTCGCCTTTATTTAACTCTTACACTACAGGCAGTCTTCTAATGCCCATTGGGATTGGGTTGCCTTTCAGCTGTAAATCGTTACTTGATAAATCGTTGAAGCTATTGGTGTTTAAAATGGATATTTCCCATAGGCTATTTTTTAAGCCACCACTTTCTTGGTACAATATTATTACGTGCTTTCTTGTAGATTTCACATAGAGTGCATAATCGAGCATTAAATATTAAATAATATTTAATGATTTTATCTGACGATCAGTGCTGGGAGCTCTTGCCGTGATCCTAGTCAGGATCATAATGAGAGACTGCGAGATATCCGAATATTACGTCAAATGGATACAGTAGACGTCATTGCTGTCCTGAATCAAGAAACGTGTGGTTAATATCATACATTTATTCATTTGGCTTTTTATCTATGACTCCAGCCAGTTCCTGTACGACTGTTACATACGCATTTACTTACGTATAATAGGTATAATTTAAAAAAAATTTTTTTACATAACCTTCAAGATTCTGTCGACGAGCGAAGGAACGTCTTGTACGTATCTTCGTTCTTCGTACTCCAGGTTCAAAGGTAATTTCGTTCTTGGTAATGACGGAAATGTCGAGCTTCACGATATTTTTAAAATTCACGTCAAGATCTTACGGTACTGTGGTCCTTACGTAATACACACGATCCATACATCAGTGGGTGCTTTTGGTTTTCATGTAGAAGCATCATCCAAAAATTCAGCAGTCACGTCTCTACGACAAGTTCAATGGAATATTTGGATTGTGAGAATAATTAACATACGTCTGAGCGAGTGATATAGTGTGTGGAGACACGGGGAAAGAGAATGGCGGGAAAAAACGATAGATTTGAAAAAGAAATTTTAAGAGCGGAGGTACCTGGTGATCTCAAACCTTTCCAAGGGAGATAAATTAAAACCCTGTTCTTCCTGTTAAGCCCTCAGGATATTAGCCGTACCTCCAGTTCACTGTTAACCTGGATCCACAGTTTCTTCCATTGTGTAACTCGACGTTTTCACTCGTCCGTAGTTCCTCGCTAGAATTTTATTATTAAATTCAAGATCATCCACTGGAGCAATATACAGTATTACCACTATGAAGAAATACTATACCGCTACAAGGGTCTAGAATGATTCCAGCATATCATTCCAGAATCCTGGAGTCCCTTAAGAACCATGCATTGTCATCTTGGAAGACAGGGTCCTTTATGTTTGAAGAGGATTCCCCAGGTGAACCAAGCATAGTTTACCGAACCTGTATGACAAGCAAATATTAATCCATCGAAAAATACCACGTCGCGTGACAACCAGTTCTCAACAGAATTTGAGTATCGTCTAAAGGACTCTCAGAAGAAGGAAAGTCAAAGGCAACGAAAAAAATAAGTTAGCCACGAATCAAGTGTTTTTCCAGAAGGACCAATTCCCAACCAACTGAAGAGCATAACAACAAACTAAATTAAATGGTATTTAGAGTATGAATTTACGAACACATTCGTTTATATATATTTGTGTATATATATATACGTCAAAAGTCATATTTCGAGTTTCGAAAAACTTGTTATCCCTGACCATTCCTAACCTCAGACGCCCACTTAATAATAAAAGTATAAAGTACTACGGATGGATTGATCTGCCTTGTTAGTATTGTTGAGAACGATACCAGTCATACGTACTGATATGCGAATGCGAGAGCACGTATACTGCTTAAGTGAGTAGTATATGTATACAGACAGTTTGAACTAAGTAAGAGACAGTCGTTTATACTACATTATAAATGCTGTATAAATTTTGAATAATTTGCTGAGTGCTGCCACCATACATCTTGAGAGTAGCGTGAAGAAGGGGGAAATAAGGCCTCCGAGGGTCAGAGCTCATATGTGGGAACCCCTTTGCGTTTATATAGGCTTGGAATAGGCTTGCACATTATTCGATTGTGAATGATTTCGTGACGCGTGTACATTCGTTCTTAATAAATAGCAGTAGGTGCACGTCAAAGTCTGTCCAGGACTCGAGGACGAGTGAGCCAGGTGTCAGATAATTTTCTAAATAATTCCTACGAGTCGCCTTGTATTGTAACTGATAAAAAGGAAGCGTGAAAAGAATCGATCACAGGTTAGTCAAAAGCGATAATAACTAATTGATGATAAAGCGAGAAAGTTTTATTGAGTAATTATTATTTTTTCATCGATGATATTTTTGTAGATTATAAGTTACGTTTTACTCGAGACTATTTATGTTGAGAATTTCGAAAATAATATTTTACTACCAAATGATTCTTTGTCACGATGTCTTATCTATTTAAAGTTCTTACTGACTTTCTCCCCGTTATTTATATTTAATGAGGTTTTGTTAGATCTCTAGCTGCGATAACGGCTAATGCATTTTTCACGTGGACGTTGTAATGGGAGATGCATTTTTTAAATTCATTTTATACTTCAATAACGTAACGTGTATTACTTTTATTTAATTTTGTCAATATATGTGAATTATGTATATATATATATATATACTCATGTGTGGTCTATTCGATAAGATATAGTAACGATAACGTAAACGCAAGTCATTATTGACAATATCGCCCACGAGTGACATAATGATATTCAGAAATACAATTGTTGTTCGAAGTTCTCAGGTAAATTGTTATCGCATTATCACAGCGATCATCGCACCCTTTTGAATAGTAACGAAACTTCGTATAAAACGTTTATAAAATACGATCTTTTTTGATATCGTGAAAAAGATATGACATACAGCGAAAATTAAATTGCATCTCGTACCTCGAATACGTGCACGCGACAGGATGGGAATAACAATAAAATTGACGATACGTCACGTACTGTACGTTATAAGGCAAGTCTCTTGGAAAAATCACCAGTCTCCATGTTTTCTGACCCTGAGGCAGCTTGGGGAATGCATATAAGTATAAGAGTGGGCGCCGCGTAGACTGAGGTTACATTTTGGTGAGATTCGTGCGTCGAAGCGATACTCTCCTATATACGGTATAAATATACAGTGAATGCCATTTGTAATTGCATCAGTGTGTTTAATTTGTACCAGGGCATAAGCCGTAAGCCAGTGTTAGAAAATATATCGTTGGTATAAAAGGAAACAAGAAAATATGTCTCGAAAAGCACGTAAGTAACCTAAAAAAAATTGAAACAAACCGATGATGATGTATTGAAGCAACGTGTGACAGCCTTTTGATTATTATGTATATGTATAAAGTGGTGTCATAATGTCATGTGACTTGTTCTTATGTGACGTGGTCGACAATCGTTAAGCCGGTTCTTCATGTAGATTTTCATGCCTGTCACACACGTTTAAAGTATTGTTCCGTGCTTAGATGCTTTAGAAAGTTCAATTCCATATTAGTCCAGTGATTCTTACGTGTGAACACGTATGAACTCCTTGTCCTAGCGAATTGGTAATAGCTAGTTTCTTGCACGACTCGTCCCATAAAGCAGACATGCGTAGCGACTTGAAAGTAAGGTGAAAATGCGGCTTGAAGAGACATGAAGAGAAATAATGTGTTCGGAGGGTAAAGTCGACTAGCCGCGAGGCAAATAAATCGTCATGAATTTGAATGTAAAAGCGCGGGAAATTGAAAAGTTATCGAATTCTCAAATCAGCAAATACCTTGACTGTACGTCAAACATCAAACGAAACATTTTATGCTTTACGAAATTTAAAAAAATACTTTTAAGGTATTACTACGGTAAACTCAAAACCGCGTAATCTAGCTGAAATTTGTTTTACGTCTAATTTGTATAGCAGTACATCTCTCTACAAATTTTTAACACGATTCACTCATCAGTTTCCGAGTATTTCCGAGTTAAAGTCAGGACTCGTAACACGTATTCCCTATACCTGGCCAATAAAACGCGCATGATTTTTCTTTATTGCATTTGACTCGTCCGCGTAATTCCGATGAAAAACTAGTATGTGGCAAAGGAAAAAATTACGAATTTTTTAGATTTTTAGTCAGAACTTTTTACTCATAGGATTTATTGATAGACATGATTCGATATTTATTACGAAATCTCTCGTACGACGGCTAGACAAAAGAGCGTTACGGCAACATTGCGTTTGAGACTGTATTCGGTGTATATACGTATACAGTACTACATCCAATGTACATTAGTGTGCGCCTATCCATGCAGGGATGGGCGTGTGTGAGTGAACTGTACCAGTTCAAAAGTTGACGCTGGATTGTTCAAATCTTAGATTGAAAATTTTTTTTTTTTTCGGTCCGTAGTAATACCTTAATTAGTAATTCTCAAAATTATTATATCGATGGAAGTGATTTTCCACAAATAAATCTATACGGATTAAATAATCGTACTGTTGATGACTAATGGTTAAAATTCGTATATATGATCTGTTGCTCAAAACAAATTAAAATCCAGGTACAAAATTAATGCTTGCAAAGCAATCGCGATTGAGTTACGCAAGCGGTGACAACGTCGCTACTGTGAAATAATAATGGACACGATGTCCGACTATAATTTTAATGTGAATTCTTAAAGAGCATCGATAAACACGCGGAAATGTTTCTTCAGTTAAATTCACGCTGTTCAGCACTTTTTTACTTTTGCACTCTTGCAATTTTCCATAACAGCAAAAACAGAATGATAATCACAGTATTTTCACACATCCATCTCCGTTGCACACAAGTTCTTCATCTCAATAAAGAAGAAGTTATCCTTGAACTGAAACTACTCAACGTACTGCCTGAGTCAATAAACAGGGCATGCATGTAAATATTCCTTAATACGTTAATTAAGGACAATCAAATTTATAAAAAAGGAATAATTATTACAACAAAACGATAAAATTCGGTGACTTTCAAAAATTATATACAATAAATCGTACGATGCTAATGAATGACTTGAAAGTAATTTGACAAAATAAAATGGTAAAATTTGGCAATATTATACATTTTTATTGATTTATTTCTTCTTATGTCTTGCGTCCGCTTATTTGTTTCTTTGATCATATTCTGGAAACCCCAACACGTGATTTTACAAATACTTTACGACTCTCGCGTTCACGATATCGAAACTTATTAAACATTGCGTTCGCAAAACTTATACCACATAACGGCAATCGTCAGCTCACACGTGGATTCGAGAAACACTGATGGGGCTGTAGGTGACACAAATAAATCTTACGTACGAGTATACAATTTCAGCATCTATAAACAAATGGCATTGACGGATCCGCTATTATGATATTGCGTAACAGCATGATATATACGAACAGCAAAGGAAAATAATATTTCGCAGCTCAGAATGATAACACGAAGTATATAATTCAGTGACACGGTGACGTTTTCCCAGTACGTAATTTTATTCCTTCAAGATACACTCCTTGATGCTTCTTGACAACCTCGATCCTTGTGCCCGTGGAGCCATTTTTTTTCATCGTAACATATAGTTTTTTATCACAACAAGCTACATAGGATTTTTTTATTGCTTCAACTCAGCGCCGTCTACCAGAATCAAATTCTTTCCTGGTTTCTATGGGACGACGAGAAAAAGACGTCCAAAAAGAAATGAGTTTCGCCTTGCCCGATGCTTTTAAGTTTCTCCCTTCTTTTATCGTTCTCCCTCTCTGTGTCCCTCCACTCTTTACAATTAGGACGTCAATACCTACCGTTCACGATATTTTTCCATCCTGGAATTTACCAGGCTCCATATTATCTGCAGGTTACATAAGAATCGTAGCAAGTGTTCAGGACGTTTAAAGTTCCCTTTAAAAAATGACCTGTCGACGTTCGATTAAATTAAGTCAATTTGTTGCATCTATATTCACATTACCATCATTGCCTTCGTATATGTATCAGATACAAATATAGTCTTTTCTCTATGTACATATTTACACTACTTTATCTTCAACGGACGTGAACTACCGGTTTTCTCTTTCGTCCTCTTATCGCTCTCCTTCACAGTCATTTTTGTCACTCATGAAAATATGTCGTGAAGTGTCGGTTCTATCATATTGGGATACGTGGTTAATTATACATTTTTCAAATACGTCACTAACAACTCTGACAGCGAAGCGATTAAAGAATTTTTTAAATTTTTTAATCAATTAAATTTTTATAGTTATTCGGCTTTCATTGGTACACAGGTATGCTATACAGTCTTTCAAGTAACACCAAGGACCTATTTAATAGTTTTCTAGACCAAATATATTTTATGAACTTATAACATTTATATAACGTAACCCTATAAGCGTCATTAAATATAATATTGATATTTCTTGTGCTATTCTTTAGTCTGTTGAAATTTTCATCGTGAGTTATGGCTAGGTAAGAATTCGTAACTGGTAAGGTTTTCGAAGGTCTTCTGATTAATTCCTTTATAAAAGTCAAAGATCCAAGGTTTTTCTGTTACATCAAAGTAGACGTAAATCTCTTCTGACGTAACAGACATAAATTACCGAGATAATTCATCTATCAATCTTCACGAAGGTATATGCGTCTTTTAATAGAATGCTAATAATTAAGTGATATGAATTTTTATGAATTTCTGCGATCAAAAATAAATAACAGTTACTTGTTTCATTTGCACTTCTACCATGGAACGAACTGTGAGGTTTGTTACATAACCATTTGACATTAACTTTATGATGTTTTCATAGCCACACAAAGTCTCGTTTCCACGAAGCTAGTGTAGCGACGTGTTCAAATAAATTGTCACATTCATGAAAGTCGGACGTATCCTTTAAACTAATCCATTCTTCTTCGTAGAGTCGTGTGTGAGAGGCAATTAGTCATGAACAGTATTAGTCACCGGATCAAACAGTGATTTCGCGACATGCTAATCCGATGTTTGCCGAGAGTCACTCGGCTGACAGTATATAGAGAGCGTGCCAGTCGATTAACTCCTTTCGGGGAGTATCCATTGAGCCGCCTACTGAACGATTAAGTTTTTCTCTCAAAAAGCATTCAACTGTATCAAAGCGAAAAGAGCTGTTCTACGTGTCAGAGCGTTTAGGCGAATCACGTAGTACTTATTATTTTCAATCACCATTTTATGTTAGAATTTCAATGGTTGATTTATCGTCTCTTAACGCTATTGTTCTCTCGATAAAATTCGCTGTTAATAAATATTCTCTTCTTGGTTGCAGCCACGATGTTAACCGACATGGATGAATTGCCCTTCATTAAACTGGGGGACTTCACTTTGGAGTTCGAACTTGGACCACCTAGTGAAGAGTTACAGGAAGTCGCCAGAAGGGAGCTCAGAGAGACGCCAGAAGTGCAAAAGGAAGCAATACAGCGATTAAGAGAATTGCTTAAAGGTACATTCAGATAACATATTTTTTTTCGAAATCTCTAGGTCATTTTTTTTAATATATATGTATTTTGTCTGTTTCGCATCAAGCTGAACCCGATCTCCACTGCCCACTGGATAATGATACCTGGCTCATCAGGTTCCTGAGGCCCTGCAAATATTACCCGGAGTCAGCACTAAAACTGATCAAGAATTACTACAGTTTTAAACAAAAACACGCTAATGTCTACGAAGGTCTAAAACCAAGTCGTGAAAAGAACATTTTTGAGCAGAATATCCTGCAAGTGTTACCAAACAGGGATCAACATGGTCGTCGTATTCTGATAATAGAATTAGGCAAAAAGTGGAAGCACAATAAATGCAGTCTTGACGAAGTATTCAAGGGATGTGTTCTCTACCTAGAGGCTGCCACCTTAGAACCATCATCACAAATAGCTGGTGCAGTCGTCATATTCGATATGGATGGCCTCTCCCTGCAGCAGACGTGGCAGTTCACACCGCCTTTCGCCAAGAGGATAGTCGACTGGCTTCAGGACAGTGTGCCGTTGAGAATAAAAAATATTCATATTGTAAACCAGCCCTTTGTGTTTAACATGGTGTTTGCGCTATTCAAGCCATTCCTTCGTGAGAAGCTAAAGAGCAGAGTGAGTTAGAATTCCTATTGAAAGCAATACTTTCCAGTGCGCCTGAACGTATGCAACCATCTGAGCATATATGTATGCAAATAGATATCTTTATATAAAGTGGGTACATCTTCTCGCTTCAGATCATCTTCCACGGTACAGACCGTAAATCGTTGCATCAGTATATGTCGCCAAAATGTCTTCCGGAATGCTACGGCGGAACCCTTCAGATCCCGAGGGTAACAGGACCTCAGTGGTTGGAGCTTCTGCTTATGTGCGACAAGGAATACGATGGTAAGGATAGACCTCAGTATGAATTATTCACAGTATCCTGGAGTCTGTTTTCGTTTGTTTAATCTGCAACCGAATTACCCTATACGTTTTATAAGATTCTATAATCTTTTCAGATCTTTTCATGATTTTTTTTAACAATCTGGTTTTCTTCATTTTAGCTATCAACTCCTACGGTTACAAGAAGAAATAAATGTACGTGATGGCTACCACTGCTACAGGGATACCTGTGAGAATGACATAAGTTCGTTTTTTTTGTATTTTTTTTCTCCATGGACAATCGTAGCTATGACTATTTGTTTTTATTTGTAACGATGTTTATGTAGGGGACCGAATCTAATGTATTTTAATTTACCTATTTATATTATTTCTGATTGATACCTTTCATCGAAAGGTATGCTTTTATCATATTGAATTTTCTTTCTTTCACCCCCCCCCTTTCTCTCTCTCTCTCTCTCTCTCCCTCTCCTCCCTTCTCTCCCCCTTCCTCCCTTTATTTTTCAGTTACCTTAAATTCATTTTCGGGTCACACCAATCTCTATAAGTATTTTCGCATTATGCGAACGAATGTAAAACATCATTGAGTTTGAGACTCTCCAGATTTTAGTCTTAATAAAATATCAACGCAATAGCATATATTTTCTTATCAAATGTATTGTCTCTTGAAAAAAATGCATGTCGCGCGTCACAGAACTGGAATAATATGCCCCATTCACCTCATCCGAAGAATTGACTCCAATCCAGCACCGGAAATATGTTTCACTCTGAGATCCTAGCAGACCCATCAGGTTTATTCCGACTATGTGCTGGATACGTATCCGTACTTTTGCGATGCTGAAATCACAAAGTAAAGTAGAATTGTATTATTTAATTATATATCTGTATAGCCACTAATTGTAAGTACTGATCGTGCTTGACGCACTCTTTCGCAATTTGAAGAAAGTCGATACCTTGAAAGTCTTCTTCATAGGTGCAAAAGTATTCCCAGAGTCTTTCACCCAGCGGCTCTGAAGGCAATTCAAGCTGCCCTCCATATTGAGTTGGCAAAGCTTTTGCGTCGATAAAGGAGAGTAGACTTGCTCGGTCGCTTCCATGAAAATGCAGCCGCTTTCTTAACTTTTCCTAAAAGTGCAGTATGAAACAGTTATTACCTTCTAGAGTTCATTGATCTTATATAAATATATGTTCTAGGATAGGACCTGGAAGAAGGGTTTAAAGATGGCGAAGACCATATTGAAAATATAAGGCTGATTCACAATGTGCACTCCCTTAAGGCGGCATGGTAAACACTTCTGCACCCATTCAAGTACAGCGCTTGCAAAACTTGGAGTAAAGTACGTCACTTGACTCAAGGACAGGCCATCCATGTCCAAAATTACACGAACACCGGCGACCTTAAAGGAAAAAGATTTGTTCTCCTGTTAGAATTATAATTTCTTGCTTGCTTAACGATGATATGGCTTTATCAGCTTTGTATAAAGCTCTCGAGATGGCTGCGGATTATCATCAATCTTTCAACTTTTTCTGCCACTTGTTTCTCAATTTGTTTGTTTCTGTTTAGAGACATTCACTTACTTGAGTTGTTGGCTCTGCCATTGCTGCCTCTAAGGCCAACATAACTCCTTTGAAAATTTGTTCCAAACTTATTTCTTTTGGTTTCCACTTTCGTCCACTTTCGAGTAAGAGAATTCTCTCACCGCTGTTACAACGTAACGGAAGTGGTGTCAAAATTCCGGAAATGAAGATCGCCTTCTCCTTACTGGGTACCAAACCTTCGCAAATACGTGGATGAGACAATCGATACTTATAGAAACGTTTCATCTGCGATTTAAAAAAAATTATTGACGGGACTACTCTCTCCTTAAAATTGACAATACATAAATGGTCTTTAAAAACTTACCAATTCAAAGGCACTTTTAGCATACCACTTGCATGGTCTTAAAAACTTTATCAAATACTCCTCCTCTTCCGGTACTACCAAACCCGGTTCACCTGCGTAATGTAATTACTTATTAATAACCATAAAAGACAAGGCTTTGCGAAAAATTACAGAAGAAATTTATTTTAATTAATTCATCATCATAATTATTATTGATTGGAGAACAGGATGAACAATTCTCATTGCCGGTTGCGGATATCGTATGATTATTAGAATATGACATTAAAAAGTAAAATAGGAGTACTGTATTCAGTACCAACGGCATAAATAAATATCGCTGGAAATACTTTCCTTTCCGCGAGACAACACTTTTTCGATTTATCATTACGTCCGCTCGGAAATTTGCCATTTATGAGTTTTGTAACCATCGTGACACGCAGAAGCTTTACAATACAGGACAGTGCAAAAGAAGATTTTTAATTATACCTTTCACCGACACATATGAGCTATTTACTGTATAGGTACGCTATACTGTAGTGTACTATATTATTTGTCTATTGACGTTTTTGTATAATAAAACTTTTAATTACACAATGAATTGACGAGAAGCAAAAATTGATACGGTAGAATCAAATCGTAAAAGACAATCCTCCAAGAAATCATTGCGTATCATTTGGAATATTCAGGGGTATAAATAGATAAATTTTCGTAAGCATAATTATATTTCTCAAGCAAAAGTAAAAGAAAGGAATTGTCACTGTGCTAGGCGCTCGCTTCTTGTATGTAAATAACAAGTAACCAGAATCGTGGCCAGTATTTTTCCATGGCAACAAGAAAAATTCAAAGAAAGAACTGGTTTATCTGCGACCGTACTGTCTGTGCGGGAAATACCAGGGAGAAAACTGTCCCTCTCACTCGTCATTACGCGTATATACTTATTCGTATCTCAGTCAACTTTCAAGTCATATACCGATTTCGTAGAAATACGATTTTGTACACTGACTTTTTGAATTTCGCGCCACGTAAATTAACAACTAGTTCATGATAGTTGGATACAATAAAGAAAAAGGTAAGTAAGTAACGTAGCATTTTAGGGTACGTTTCCAAATTTTCTGTCGGTATTGCGAGATGGTTGTGTCTCATTTTATTGCATATGGGTAAATAGGGACACGAAAATACTCGTAGTACTTTCAGTGATTTTCGGAACACATCGTCAGTGTACCTGTCTAGTAAGGGTACGTCAATAGATCTGCAATCTTTTGTGAAATTGTTAAATTCTTTTCAGAATGAAGAGTCATGCTAAGGTTTGAATATCATCGAGAGTGCTTTGCTTGTCCTTGTCTTTGAAGTCAATGACCAGTAATTCGACCGAGACGGTAATGCCGAAGAAAGTGACTGAGGTACCTCCAAGGCTACGTAAATACCTGCAGCGCTTCGCTACTAGTATAAGGTAGCAGTAAGAAAACAATTTTAAAAGCAGATGATTACGTTAGTTTTCATATAACTAAACTGATCCAGTTATTTGAATACGAAAAAAAATTTTCGTTGACTGTACAGCATACATTTGTATGTAAAACTTTACCGCAGACGAATTGTTTACCTCTTATATACTCTCGTAGTTCGCGTAGGCTTGTATCCACGACTTCGGGTATTTCTCTGAGTTCGGTTCTTGCTTTGTTCTTGTAAAACTCATCGAGTTCATCAGGTTGGAATGTAAGTTCATGCTTTCCCACTTTTATTTTGGGTGTGACTTTTGATCTCTCTATCAATGATGCTTGTCGACCAGCCAAGAAGTTCTTATTCTCTGCCATTGCACTGTAACGAACACGGTCACCCTTTTTCTTTCTTTATTACCACTTTTTCTATTTTTATTGTATCTTATTCTTCTGCACCTTTTACACTTTCAGGTCAGAGCGATGAGAATCTGTCGAAAAGAAAATTTTCATCGGGATATTGTGTAAGCCTACTGATTCAGATTCGCTTTCATTCGCTTTCTACGGTGACGATATGATCTTATGTTGAAACATTAAAAAATGTTTATTATATAAAAGAATAAGTGATAAATACTAGACCTTTAAGGTCACTTTAAGGGGTCTTGCACACAAAACTTCAGCAAGCATACTGAAAGGTATAAACCATTTAGCATACGTTCATGACTTTATAAAATTGATTAGGCTATTGATAACGTGCACTGATCGGACTAAACCTTACATTATCTCTCTCTAAACTCTTAATTCTTGATAAATAACTGATAATGCAATTGTTATTTTGCCTATTACAAATAACTTACTTCAGCTGCTAACAGATGTTTATGGACCGGGTGGAACTAAAAAAATTAACTTATATGCACTGATGACTTATTTTGATACTTTCAAAGTAAAATAATGTGTTAAAGAGAAGAGGTGAATTCATCCAATACGCTGGCCTCACCAACCTTGACTGTTCCACGCAATGAACATTACTGAAGTCGGACTACGATTCTTCCCCACTTCATTCGGAATTCCTTTGAACGTTGTACCTTCTCATACTAAAATAAATGTATGCAAAGGAACGAAATAAAATGACATTACGATACAGAATTTCAAGTGAGGTTATTCGGTCAACTTGCTTCCTACGCGTGAATTAATTTAACTTTCATTTTCCAAGTTCGCAGTACAATCTTTATCGAATACACTGCCGCCATAGATAACATCATACAATAAATTGACATACAAAGATTTATTAGTACTTTCACATCTATGTGCACAATATTAAATATAATTATAACAAAGTAATTCTAATTAATATATTTAAGTCTAATTAATCTGATTTTGTTTCCAACAATTTTGTTTAAATTTAACAGTGTTTACATACATAGATACAAAAAAGTACAATTCTAATAATCAGTCTCTTCAGTTTTTCCGGAGCCCGTATGTGTTCCATTCTGAAAGTAAAATAAAGAATATTTTAATAAATTTAGATTGTCATATGGTGAATGATTTCGTGTTCTAATTATAAGAAGACGGATATCGTTATACAGATTCGTGATTGTGAATCATCCTGACACAGTATCAGTATTGTCGACTCTCTGTATAAACTAGCACACGAGGCTTTAAAAAGCGATAACTTTCGAGAAACCGATATTACAGACAACTCCTACTTCATTGTAATACGCAGAGCGTTCGACAGAGCGCGGGTAACACCGAGTAACAGAGGCAACGAAGAGTGGGGGAAGACTTCCCCTCTTGATGCAAGAGCTTAAAAAAAGTGGGAAAACGCAACTGTACGAAATCTATTTATACCGAGAGTCAAATGTATAGTGAATACAATATAATATACAATGTGTTACTGATTTATCTATAGTACTTTGCGATACAAGTGCGAGAAAGCGAACTTTATAGAAGTTGGTCGCACGAGCCGCACACAACGGCACACGAGTAACACAACGGCACTCGCCGAAGGCGAAGACGACGGTTCTTTAACGTATCATGTTCCGGGGGACAGAGTTTCGAGTCATTTGTCGACGAAGAATCAGCTGTGTTCCTACGTACAGCTCGGGTATTATTTTTGAGTAGTTTCCGTTCTGCCGTATTTCGATTTTTCGTCACAATATATATGTTTATATACAAGATTATTCAGGACTATACAAGCACTTGAGTAAGGCTCTACCATAGGAATTAAACTTTAGACCACCGTATTTTCTTTTCTAATTTTTCCAATTTTCAAAATATTTCAATCTAGAAGGATAACCTATGTGAATTTCACTCCCAAGCCCAATACATTTTTAATGTAGGTTCCAAGATACAGACTCGAGCACTTCCGAGATATGGAATTGAATTTTATACATGCTCTTGGCAAGTACTTAACAGTCGTGCGTGAAAAATTTCAAAATTATTTACTACCATAGGTATATGTATTTTCACTGTCACATATGGAATAAAAGTAGCCCAAAAGCTTCCAGGCGGTAAGTGTTGATGAAAATTGTAGTAGATATTTCGTTTACATCTCGATGGATCTCTTTCCTCCCGTATGTTTAAAAAATAATACCTTACGTAAGAAATATTCTTGGAATTAACGATATACATGGAATTTACAGAAATTGGAATATTATTATTATGATGTTTGGCGAACCACCCTAAACGACTTACTGAAGTGATTCAATAAATAATGAAAGTCTAGCAACACGTTTTGCGCCTGTATGAAGGTGTGAGGTGGTCTGGAGGTAAATAAAAATCAAATGGATAAAACCATCATTAGGTGACTCAATAGCCCTTAATAACCGTGTATATATCAGACTAAATTAATTTGTTAATTGATTTCTTTTTGTGTTTCCTCTGACCTCTTATTTTGTCCTCGCAGTTGATCAATGTCGGATACCAATCAGCACCGCGATAATCAATCTCAGGCAATTCACCCCCGTAGTTCTTTGGTAAATGACTTGGTGCCATGTAGTTGTGTAGGGATGACATTTTCGTTCCGTGGAAGAACATGCGACTCTTTAGTTTGTCCCTAATGAACGGTTTGAACATGGTCCATACCATGTTGAAAATAAACGGCTGCTTTACAATGTGAACCTATAAAATCAAAATGAAATATTAATTTGAAAAATATAAAAATGACGATTTGAAAATATTTGTTATTTTTTTTTATTACCTCCTTAAGCCGAAGTGGCATGGCGTCTTGAATGAAACTCAAAAGTCGCATACTGAATGATGGCGTCAAACCCATAACTTGTTTCATTGATAAACCATCAAAATCCATTATTACTACGACTCCACGTACCTGAAAGAAAAAGTTGACAATAAATTTGAAATTATCTAAATCACATAAATATTTATATATCTATATACACTGAGTGAACTGTCTGACTGTAAGATGAAATTATAAAAAATTATTTGATCTCTTATATAAATTATATCCATCATCTGGACCAATAATACGGTTGAGGCGTAATAATAATTAATCTATAAGAAAGACCAATCTTGGATAATTTGTTAAAGAAGCATTTCACATAAATAATCATATCACGTCGATATAAATCAGTTAAATGAAAATACAGTTTATTACTCTTATCATCTTGCATTAATCTAGGAAAGTGACCTCATAGATTTTTTCACACGTGAACGCGATATGGATCAGTCTTGGCTTTGGACTTTCGATTTCTCATCGATAACGTAAGCTATATCAATCGTTTCCTTATCAGAGCACAAAGTACACCTCGTGCTTCAGTTCAAAGTGTCTATTCAAGATAAGCGGTATGACAGTCGACGTACTAGAAAAATGAATTTTTATTTTATTTTGAAAATTCAGTGACTCAAATTATTTAACTACCTGTATCACGAGAACAATGATCTTACTTGAGATTCAGGCTCTAGCATAGCCAATTCGTGAATCAAATAAAAAACTCTGAACAACTGATCGCACGTGACTTTTGAAGGATCCCATGTTTTTCCAACATTCACAATAAGAACCCTTCGTCCCTTATGATCCCTATTCTTGAGGACGTTGACAACGTTGTTCTCCAGAAGGGACTGTTTCTCATCAGAAGGCATTAAATTGTCAATGAGTGCAGCATTTTTCTCTTTGAATTCAGCAATCCTCTTCAGCAACTCATATGCACTCTGTGCATAAAACTTGCAGGGTCTAAGGAAGATGATCAAGAATTCATCATTGGTCCTGTAGTAGATGCTCGGGTCCTCTGAAATTGGCGGGAAAAAAATTCTGTTAAAAAAAATCTTTGCTTGATAATAATAATAGCAGACAGCAGTTCCCTTTGTGTGATATTTATATCTGATATATTACTGTAAATGGACTTCAATTCCAAGTCGATGATATCATCGAGTCACTTCAGCACTTTGTGCTCACCGCTGAGCACGTGAGACTCCATTATCAAAGAACAAAGTGAAACGTGCAATCAATCTGAATTTACCTCTAATAATATTTCTGATAACAGGACATATTCCGAGCACATATATTAATTGGCAGATTATGACTTGCAGACTAGAACAAATTCATTCTAATCCACATTGACAATATGCTGATAATGGTGATATCAAAACATATACATATTATGCAAGTATCATTTTTTAATGCTTGTTATAGCAAAAAGACGAGCCAAGAGTGATTGTGAAGTGAATCATATGAACTTTTGACTTTGCGTGACGATTGTATCAACTAATAAACAATACAAAGAATTTCTGGTACCAGATGAAGGATGATTTCCTTTGTGTCTTGTGCATATATACATTAAGTGCCCATATGAGCTTTGATATGCACAGTGATATGAAAATGAGGATAACGTGCAAGTAATGGATACGAAATGACAATAGATGTCCAATTGAATTTACGAAATTACAGCTTATAATGAATCACTTCTATAGCCATCTCTAGACCTTTTTGTTTTGCGATTTGTTTTCAGAGGTCGAATTTTTAATTTATAGCAACAATTTCGTATCGTAAATTGATACAAATTTTACAGCATTGAGCCGACCAGTGATAACGATGTTTATGAATAATTTTGCAGTTTATATAAATAAGAGTGCGTTAACAAAGCTCCTATCTACCTGAGTGATTAATATCCAAAGAATTTTTAATACGGAACGTCGATATACCGGGGTTTTCAGCCCAAACACACCACCTGAACATGGCTTTTGATATAAGAAGCAAATAAATACGCTTACTTCAGGATATGCGTGTGGACTGAATAATCTTGTATAATAAAATATCGTATATACAGGGTTATTCAGTACAAATGCAACAACCTGAATGTGATTCTACTATAGATATCAAATATATAGGCTATATATTATGTATACTTTTATAATTTTTTAATTGTATTTTGATTAAATCGATGCATGCTTTTCTCGTAATTGATAAACGCAGAATTTAAATATTTTATATCTGCTGTCTTATCAGTGCGTGTTGATTACGTATATAGTGTATTGAGCAGATATTTGAAAAAAAGGAATAACCAGAGAGAAAGATAATTGACAATCAAACATAAGTTTAATGAACGCGTACGTCAATCTCTCTTTGTCACTTCATTTATTTGTTTATTCATAACTTTTTATTTCTTTTAAAGAATCAGAATAATAATTGATTAAGGACAATGCTGAAAGATTATATGAAACTGTATTAATTGATCTTCAAATGACTTCTACTTATAATTATTTTAAGTTATAAACTATTTGACATTATTAGAATAGACCCTTGAATAAACATAAGGTTATCTTGACGGCCAGTGTGACCATGAGCTCCCAGTTAAACTATATTTCCTGCAGTTATACTGAATCGTGTTACACAATTTCAGACGCTATGAAAAATGTTAAAAACGTTAAAGACCCATGAAAATTTATATTTAAAAAAAAATTCTGGAATTTGTATATAAAATGGAACGAAAAAATTGCATTGCAGAATAATAATTTAGTTTACGAATCAAGATATCCGTCACAATCTTTAGTACATAAATATTTTATTTACGTACAAATGCGAGTCCATAAATTTCGTGGAAAGTATTAGCAATGTTTAATGTTTTAATAAAAAGTATTCCACGAACAAAGTACTCACCTTCTATAAGTTTTCTCAAAGCTTCAATTCCATTCTTCACGTTTTCCGGTGTCTCCCTAAGTTCTTTTTCCGCAATCGCACGGGTTTCCGGGCTGATCTGTGCATCCTCTAATTGAAAGGCCATGATACTTCTTTTTCAGGAAATATTGTAACAGGTACCTCTCTCAATTAAAAAACGTTAGAGTACTAAATACCGATCCTCGCACTAGGACGCTCGCGATATATCTGTCCCCTGGAACGTCGGGGCGGCCTCCTCTTGTCCACATCTCAATCCAATCTTTGACCGCACAAAGTCCAATCGACACTCAATTCAAAGCACCAGGCTTTACTTCAGTCATTTTGAAATATAGTGATATACGTCATCCCGTGTTTCTATTCCTGATAAAGACTCCTCCCTCTCTTGAGTATTGTTACTGACCGATAAGGCTGCCACGAGAAACGCATCTTTGCCTTCTTCATCGGCTGCAGCCAGCTGTAGGACTTTCAACTTAAGCTTGGCTGTTTGGACCGTTTAAAAAATGGAAATATATAGATTACAATGACTTTAAGTGAACGAGATCAGAATTAACTTTTCATAGTAATTAAATCATGCTGCACTCTTTAAATGATTATGACAATTATTGCATTTATAATTATAATAAGAATTGCAAATTCAGCAACTTCTTTTCATGTATACATTTCGTCCACGTATTTATCGAGACGGTTCAGATAAATCTGTAAAAGTCTATGTTATCTTCTTTGTATACAGGGTCACAGGGTATGTCATCCTATCGCATTAGAAATATTTTTAGGAAGCATCTGCTTCTAGGTTTCTTGTAACATGAGAACTTATGAAAATTTTTAATTACTCACGTAAGGGTTTTTCCAGGCATAATAGAAAAATTACTCCAATGGCTAAGAATCTTGATTAATATTCTCTGTGCTGATGAAAATAAGATATATGCAAAATCCAAGCTTTGCAGGAGTCTCATTAGTCCCAGGGCTTTAGAAGAGGAATTACCTGTGGAAAATCCATTATAATGACATTTACTGTGGTAAAGTGTAGGTCCATCTAAAAATGTAACTGGGAAACCTGAACGTAACGCAATCCTCTTGTAATAAGAAAACACCTACGTGCCAATTTAACCCTCATGTTTAGTCCCGACGTGCTTTACTTCGTATCGAGGTCGTACGTTATCTAAATATCGAGTTCGATACTAAGCACCTTCTCCGTCTTTGTCGACATTCATTCGAAGTAAACAGCTGCCACATATTTTCTCAATATGCGTAGCCTTGCAGACTCGATAATCTTTCGTTATTTAAATAAATTTCGATATTATGAAGTTTTCGAGACGTTTTCAAGAGCAGCACGTGACGTCATTGCGATGGACAGTGACAAAGGAAAAGAAGTATATTTTACCTATTCATATTTATGTATATTACTCACAAATACGTTAGCAGTTTAACGATGCTTTTCTTTGTTCATAAGTCGACTGTGAAACGGCATGATAGGATATTCAAATCATTCTAAAAAAAATTTCCTGTCAAAGAGATTGAAATGTTAGTAAGATTTGGGGTACCAAGTCCATGCTAAATGACATAATGGCTCCATACGAAACTAATTGCCTTATCTTGACATTCGCAAAGTATCGTATTTCATTTATTCCGTGGCATGAGCTTTTATGACAATTGAAGGCCTGAAATTCTAGATATGATTTGGATGTATCTGCGCAAGTTCGTTAAAATTATCCTAATTTTTAACGAGAATGAAACCTTCGTTTTTTGAGGTGTAATAAAACAGACTGGGTGATAACTATGCAAGGGTCTAGTGAGCACCGAAAAGCAGTGCACGGATGAATATAATATTTGAATAACTGTACATACAACGTATTTCATGTAAAGGACTGTGTGCAATAAACTGTGCACAATAAACTGTACACAATGCATTTTTATGATCTGAAGACTGTACACTACGAATTATTCTTGTAGAGTTTTGCGTGTAGATTTGTCTCGTGTAGAGCTATTACGTATAGAGAATTAGAGAATTAGAGTGCTCTCTTGCATAGTTGACTCAGAGATGAGTGGGGAGATGCACAACGCTCCGGTTTTAGGCATAGAGTTAATACAGATAGAGCAGACAAGCCATAGGCTGCTCTGCAAGTGGAAGTGTTCGTTCGCTCATAATGAGAAAGAAAGAAATAGCTGAACCCCTTAAGCTATCCGTCTTTGCACCCTGATTTGCATCTATCTCTCTCTTCGCCACTGCCGCGTTGAGAGCTGGCTTGTCTGCTCTATCTGTATTAACTCTATGGTTTTAGGCGATACCAAAAGCATGGCGCTAAATCGTAGCGGCAAGTCCAGGAGTAGGATTTCGTGATCATCGCCTCTGTCGGTGTTACAGATTTCGAGTAGCCGCGGGGGTCATGATCATCGTTCCAACCGATATTGCAGTCAGCGACAAAGAATGGATTGCTCGGTGGTGGGGAAAAAGTTGTCGCCCCTCACAAACCGTTCTTGACAAACAGGCGGGGCAGCAAGGTCTTCCGTCCAACCAAACCCTAAACAATTGATGGACGTAATGCGCAAACAAATGTGTATATTCAAATAAATTTCAAAGTTATAAAAAATGCATAGAAATATTGGTTTTCACTCTTTACCTCTTATCATGCCGAAAATGAACATTAAAAAATGAATGAAATGTGTATATTCAAATAAATTTTTGGGGAAAAAGTTGTCGCCCCTCACAAACCGTTCTTGACAAACAGGCGGGGCAGCAAGGTCTTCCGTCCAACCAAACCCTAAACAATTGATGGACGTAATGCGCAAACAAATGTGTATATTCAAATAAATTTTAAAGTTATAAAAAATGCATAGAAACATTGGTTTTCACTCTTTACCTCTTATCATGCCGAAAATGATCATTAAAAAATGAATGGCGAAATTCGTTGGTAAATGAAACGACCGAGAACAGTTTAAAGAGAAATTTTGAAATATCATAGATAAATATCTATAATAAATTTAATTTAGTATTAAACGAGCATCGTAGCTGATTCAATAACCTGTCAAGGTTATTTTCCTGTAAATAACCTGTTTAATAACCTGTAAAGGGTTTAATCTTTCTAGGTTGCCCAAAGTTTATTTTATTCTCTTTTGTTCGTCCACGTGGAGAAGGGTGGCGCGAAAGTTCTTAACTGGAGTGCATCTTCATATTATTCTGCTTATATGTAAAGTAAGCAAAACGTTAATAGTAAGCAGTTGAATAAACGATGAAATTCTAGACATACAACTTCCGAAAAAGGCATAAGAAACATATGTTTCTGGCTAGTGCACCCGGTTACGAATCGGGAGGTATATGGTTCGAGACCCCTCTATGGAGAGCACTTTCTTTTTACAACAAGAAATGTGCTTTTGCAAATAGGATTAACAGGTTAAAGAGTATATCCAATTAATTTATTTATCTTATTACAATAAAGACATAACAACGACAACCTGCGGGCTTCCACATCACCCAAGAGGTGCCGCAGTCGATGCGTTCCCATTATTTAACGTAGCGGGTCCCCAATAGGCCTATACTACGATCGGTCTATACTATTTTTCAAGGTTCCTCTCTTTCGAATTTTCTCGGTTGCCCAAACTTTATTTTAAGCTTATATAAAATATTTTTAAAAAAAGGTTGTCATCGGGATCGAAAATCATTTTCTATTAACTCACAATATGTTGGATTATTTAGTTTCGGTCATACTAAGAACTCTTTGCTTACTTTACATATAAGCAGAATAATATGAAGATGCACTCCAGTTAAGAACTTTCGCGCCACCCTTCTCCACGTGGACGAACAAAAGAGAATAAAATAAACTTTGGGCAACTTAGAAAGGTTAAAAGAGAGGAACCTTGACCATTCTTTGTCGCTGTCTGCAAGATCGGTTGGAACGATGATCATGACCCGCGAGGCTACTCGAAATCTGTAACATCGACAGAGGCGATGATCACGAAATCCTACTCCTGGAGTCGCCGCTACGATTTAGCGCCATGCTTTTGGTATCGCCTAAAACCGGAGCGTTGTGCATCTCCCCACTCATCTCTGGTTGACTCGTGCATAATTCGTTGTTACCCAATACGCACTTGCTATTGGTAAAGAAGGTTTAATTACCAGCAAAACTGCCTTACCATTCGTAGGTACTTACACTGGGTATAGTACAAACTTTTGATTCTTATATGAGATGGTACCAGTAGTAATGTTCCAAAAAATATAACTGAAATAAAACGCGTTCAATCGTTTTGTTTTTCCTGTTTCGCTTCGTATACATATTTTCGAGTGGATTGCGGCATCCAGTGTGTGTGCAAGCGCGTGTGTGTGCGACGCACCGCGTTTTATCGGATGTATTCTTTCCAGTTTTTCTTGATAAAAACTTGCTAGTAAGAATGGAGAAGCCGGATTTTATTGCGAACGATGTGATTGATGGCGTGTGGTCGTTTTTGCAAAGTGTGAGTACACATAATGTCAGAAATAGAGAGATGCTCCGTAATCCGAGGTTATTAAAAGTCTATAGTAAAAGGGAAAGTTTTTTTACGTGTATTTAGAATGCACCGGCTGTCAATCGGGTATCTTATTATGCCAGATCACCTTTTTGGTCATTTAATAGTAACACGTAATTTAGAGAATTGCAAACGTAGTTTATGAGTACTCTTGATTTCCCTTATTATAATCCAATCAAGACATTATATGGATACAGGTATATGAAACTATGCTCTGTAATGAATACACCGCAATCTATTTCATTAGATTATCCAGGAGCAGCCAGAACCTTGAAGTACCCTCTGGTATCATTTTCAATGCAGATATTATGAAATTGTTGCAGTAGTCATGTATATCATTTGATTAATGCGAAATGTTCAGATTGTAATCGTTAGAAAGATAATTTTTAATTTTATAATACTAAAGTTTGATAAATAATGAAATAATACTCAATTCATTGTAACATGATAATCACAATTTATTTATCATACGCGTTTTTGAACATAACTGATTAATATTCGAAAAATATTGCGTCAAGCGAATATCTGCTTTTTTCTGCTATACCGTTTAAAATTAGCAGAGTTGCTTGTAAACAGAACAATTTTTTCATTGGATATTAATACTCTTGCCACAGTTTGATAGTATACGTAATGAAACAGGGAGGAGTCTATGGCCATTGGAACATTATCCATGTTGCTCTCGGAGCAGTGTTGGAAAGTGTTCAGATGGTAAAAAGAATGGAGATAGACTATCTTTGACATTGAGATACTTTTTTTGTGGTTTCAGATTGAATGGAGGGATCCATGGTTTGCACTTTTATTAACTTTTCATGTTGCTGTCACAATGACAGCACTGATGACACGAAATCATGCTAATTTCCAGATAATTCTATTTCTTGCACTGCGTAAGTACTTAAACATGCAATTCCAGTTCTGAATAAATGATATTCATTCTCTAATGGATTTTTTAGTACTCCTTGTATACTTTTCTGAAAGTATCAATGAAATGGCTGCTACAAATTGGATGTAAGCTTGAATGACATTATATACTATATTTAATTTCTTTCAAATTGCAGTAACTTATTTAATGATAAAATTATTTCAGGGTGTTCTCCAAGCAGCAATACTTTGATTCTAAAGGACTGTTCATATCTATTGTCTTTTCCGTGCCCATCCTAATAAATTGTATGATTATGGTGGTAAGTATATAATTTAAATAGATAAAAGGTATGCTTTAAAAAAATAACTGATCAATTGACAATATCTGACTCAGGGTATATTTTAAAATTCATTACAAGTACTACAACTTCAAGTAATACTTTCTGATGAACAAAAGTGAATGAATTAAAAGTATAGATGAGTAAACGACTAATCAAACTTCGATATCAAAATTGAAATTGCTAAATGTTTCAAAGTGAACAGTGTTTGCAATAAATTTCAGAACGTGGTCTCACATGATTATTCTCACTTTAAAAAACTTATTTATAGTCATCAAACGCAAGGGTCAAGGCTGTAATAATTTTATATACTCTTGTTTGACTTTGTTTTACAATATCTCTTTACTTTATCTTGTTAATTATAATGATTACTACATGATATAAGGATATTGCATGAAACGTGGAAAATATATTTTTTTAGGCAAGCTGGCTTTATCAATCCAGCCAACTGATGACTAGTTTGAAGAAAGCCCAGCTACGAGAACAGGCAAAGAACCGACGAACTGATGGCGAATCAACAACGACAAATGGAAAATCCGCTAGACAAAAGCAAGAGTAACTGAAAATATCTAGTCACATGATCGAGAGCGATTAATATTACATACGCATTATACACTATCGTACTATGAGGTGATAGTCTACGATCTACAGAGCCTAAAGAAAGAAGATAAGAGGTACGAGGTGAAACATGTTAATAGATAAAGACGTGCGAATTTATTGCCACTCGGCAACTTGATATTCATACGCATATATATGCAAGTTTATGTACCAAGGACGCAATGCTTTTATTCGGCTAATGCAATTCCGTTAATTCATCAATAAGTTTTAAAAGCTACTCATTGGATTAATCAAAATATCGACACATATCTGTCACACTGTATTCATGGAGTCATAACAATTTTACGTCATCCAACATTTTTGAAAATAATGTAAGCATTTATGTTTCGGCGGTTACGTCACTAGCGGTTCCAACCGTGGCAATACGAAGTGCTAACCACATCTCGAATTTATCTGCTTCTCTCGGCATTGAATAAATTTATCGTTGACCTTCAAAGTAGTGCGAGAAAGTTAGAGCGATGAAGGATCTCCAATGATTGTATTACTATTATCATTTATTTTTTAAATTGGAAGATGATGTTTTTCAAGACGTATTGTTTTGCTTAACGCTACATTCCTGCGGCGTTTTTTTTTTCTTTTCTATTCTACTCTACTAATTCTACTTCTTACACGTTCGTCCATTATACAAGCCACCAAGGAGATATTAGTAAACAGGACCAGCCTCATGGAATTTTGTATAGACGGTTAATTAAGCAGGGTGAACACAGGATATATGCTGGAATCGGTATAGAAATTTTGGAGAGGGTTGAAATGCCACAAAGTTCGTGTAGACACAGAATTCTAAGGGGCTGGACCTCTATGCAATATCTCATCGGTGCACAGGAACAGGATGAAAACCCCTTTAATTATAGTCATTATAGTATAAAGTACTTATTGCAACGTCATCACATATATGAATACTGCGTGCTCGTATACTGCAGTAATTATTGAAAAAAAATCATATCTTACTCATTTCTAATATATTTTTTTCTTGTCATCATAATTTACCGAATCAAAAGTGCACGTGAAGTTTTTCACGTATCACGTATACACAGTGCTTTAGTATTTTTGCCATTATACAGATGCGCATTTTTTTCTCTTGCCACTCGAAACTATGTGGTTAATGATTTTAATTAATGCATAATAAAGTATTTGTGTATAAGATCAAATGTTTAAATTATTTGCCTAAATTTTTTATAATTTGATGATGGTAATGGATGCATTACTATTGGTTAAATCTCAGGAAGCTCAAAACAGACCTATAGGTTAGATTTGGTCAGTTGTGTTTTGTATGCTTTTCAATTCAAAGTGAGAAATTGAAAGTATTGCTTTTGCTAGAGTGTAAATAATTAATTAATTTGGAGTTGCTTTTCGATTTTATCTGAATAAATGGCATTATCACGAGGTATGTATTTTGTTTTGTGTATAAGCATAAATATTCAATGTAAGTAAATATATATATATTAGTCAATAAGCCGGTTAGCACGTGTTGGGCTAACCTATTATACCTATTTGATTTTATGATGTGTAATTTAAGAATGCGATGAATGAAAATAAAATAAGTATGCTTACGGAATATACTTTATTTTTTAGAGTTATTGTGCCGTTTACAATCGGAGGATGAACCTTTAGCAAAACGGCTAAAATTAGCCGAGAATGCATTTTGCAGTATTGATTTCCCTATCATTAGAAAGGAGGATGTTATTTTACAATGGCTTTGTAAAATCTGCACTGTGCATTCCGATGCTTGGCAGAGTTTAAAGAACTGTCTGGAAAGAGGTAGATTAAATACAGGAGCTTCATTGAAATTTGAAGTGAAAGAAATACTTTTAACAACTTTAATTGATCAATTGAATAATACAGAAGATATATCGAATAGAATAATAGAATGTGGTATTTGGATCTTGTCTGATATTGGAATGCAGCAATACTTTAAAAGCAAATTAGCTCAATTTGCTTTATTATGCAAATCAATCTTAAATTGGATATGGAGAATAAATGGAATTGAGGACTATTCCAAGACAAATGATACAGTAAATAACAAAGATATGCACTCACTGAATTCTTTAATACATGATTGCATTAAAGCTGTTGTTGATAGTAATATAAGAATTTACAAACAGTTTTCCGACAAAGATATATTTGCAAGCATGTTCATAAACGACATCCTATATCCTCTGTGTTTGCTCATAAAGGATAATTCAACAGATAATACTAACAGACCAGGAGCAGAAGCATATAAGTGCATACAGCAAATATTATTTGGAAAAGCTAGATATGAGCAATACAAAATTTATAATTCACAGGATGAATCAAATTCAATTCCAACTCAATTATTTACTACATTAATAGGACGCATCGAAGTTGTTACATTAGAAAATAATTTGGCAGTCTTTTCCTCTCTTCTGTGTGCTGTGTTAGGTTCATACCGATCCGATGTTACAACTGTAGATCTAATTTTCCGAAATCTCGTGATGTCTTCTGGGAAACATAAAATTGCAATTATTAATGTATTCCTAGACTATTTATCAGAGGTGACGTTCGATTTCAACAACAAAGTCAAAGACATTACATTGACTGAATTTTTTCAACAAATTGTTGATGAAATTATTTCATCCGAAGAATTCAGACCGACTGATTACAAAGTACTTATCGGAATTGCTCATTTAAATCCTGTCATCGTCGAGAGCAAAATACAGATCATTTTAAAAGCAGTATTACTTAAGAAAAGATCAACAGAATTGGAAAAAAACTTATATACAAAATTGATGATCAGTATTCTGATATCAAGCATCCGTTTACGACGGCAACAAAAAATGTTGCCGTTGTGCTTAATGGCTTTGAAACAAGTGATGATGGAACAAGAGCATTCTAATTTAGAAATATGGACTATTTTTCCGAAACTGTTCATTGATAAAGTGACAAATTCTGTTACAACTATGACCAGTTCACAAATTATATCTACATTGAGATCACTTATATTTCATTTAAATGATTGCATTCAAATCATGGAAACGGTTTGTTCCAGTAAGAAATATTTGCATCATACTCAAATTAAATCTAACTAATTCAATGTTTATTGACAATGATTATTTTAGGTACTCTTTCTATATTGATAGAAGCTACAGCTATATTGTTTGTTGGATTTATAAATGGTGTTCGTATATTTGATTACACTACATCTCTGGCTGTTCAACAAAAATTTATGGAAGCTCTAAAGGACGTCTCTGCAAGTTTATCAATTTTGACAGAAAAAATTCTTAATATTAAATTTGATAAACGAATCATCCTAGCATTATTATCCTCCACGTTGATACTCAGCGAAGCATTTTGTACTTTGGCCTATTATTCACCAAAAGCAGTACCCAGTCTTCCACCATTTCCTATTTCTTCGGACCAGTGGCAACAGTTAGTTCAAAGAACAGCAAATTTTGGAGAAGACAGTTGCAAGAAAAGTATGGTAAATATATTTGAACTAACCATTCGTTGAATTGCTGCTGCAAGAAAAAACACCTTGAAAATATGATTTTTAATATCATTTCAGAATAAACTTTTCTTATACAGAATAAAGACAGAACAGTTAAAAAATCAATCAACAGTCAAACTTCGTGGTTTGATTGGTGGTCTTGAACAATCATGGTCACTTATTCTCGATGGTAATTTAGAGATCATTAGGTTTTTAAGTGACAAACAATTAATAGAATTGGCTTCACTGGTTCTAAAAAATATCTTATCCAGCAAGGATGATCAACAGAAGTGGATTAGCATACTGACTGAAGATGATGTTCAGGAGAATACGAAATTTATTTCAGCTGTAATTTGTCAACTTTTTATTCAAATGGGGCAAAGAATACCATCAAGTACAACTAAATCCATTATGGAAGATATTGGCTCTGTAAGTTAATTAAAAAATTAACTTGATCGTTATATTTATCATGACACTGTCTTTATCAGGCGAAGATATATGGAACAGATATTACGGAAGAAACAAAGTACCTCGCTGTCCTCGAATCTATTTCAGAAAAACTGAAATTAGATACATGGTCTTCCTTGAATTCTGACAATTTTTCTATCATTCAAGAATACTTGACAATTTTACTTCAGTTGCCATTGCTCGATCTGAATTCTCATTTTAAGATCCTAACATTCATGGTAATATATACCGTGAGAAAAGAATGTGCGCAAAATGAAAAAGTTATCGACTTGTGCAGTCAAATATTTTTAGGTAATTATAATATTAGGATTATTAATGAATTTATACTAACATTAATACTTTTTCAGATATTTTGGATGGTGGCAATTTTAATATCTTTCAGTACCTCGATGTTAAGTCTTTAATCAAGGAAATGCCACATAACAAAATTTTATTAAAAGTAATCGAACTTTTCTTACGTAATAGTAAATCTTACAGTGATTTAAAACCTATTATTTCTGCTGCACGACGAAATAAAGAATTAGTATCAATAATTTTGGAGTCCATCGATAAAGTAAAGTCGAAATTGACTTCGACCCAAAAACCGGCTTTTAAAAAAGTTAACCAGAAACTTGGGCAAATAATGTTAGACACATTGAGTACTAAAATAAATGTAACTGACGATGTAAAGTGCTTGACAATAGCATTAAAAACAGCAATTGCTAATGAAAGTACTAGCGAAGATTTAAAGAATATAGTGAAATTGGCTCTTCATTATATATTCGAGGTAAATCAAATTGGGTGAAAGAATCTTGGTTGGCCGTAGCCGGCACAGCTAATTGCCCGTACTTGGCACGAGTCTCTTGATGTCTTAAAGTCTTTGGATTATACATAAGTACACACTTTCTTAACTAGTTTTTCTTGTAGTCTGGTATTTCACAAACAAATCAAATATCTGGTCACGCAGAAAACGGCCTACTACAAGAGGGTCTAAAATTAGTTGCAGTGCTATTAAGGCATCGTGCATTTTTGGAAATTGAAGAAGATATTATCAACCGTATTTGGTCTGTTATGGTTCACAATCCTTTGCAAGATTTAATTGTTCCCTTGCTCGACATATCAAAACCAAAAGTTTTTCGGAACATGATCACCGGAATGCACAACTTCACAGTAATAACAATTTATTCATCAATACTCTCTCTACAACATTCATATGAACTGTACAATAATTATCCTCCTACACGTTAATTGCACAGGTTGAAGCTCTACGTGAAGGGAATACCTCCTCATTACATAATGCTATGATAATGTGGAATTGCATTGTTAAAATGGACATGGGAACGATAAGAAATAAAACACGTTTGACGGCTGTACACAATATACTAGAATCTATACAGATCATTGAAATTCCAAAAACATGTTGGCCGGAAACATTGAAATTACTTCAAAGTATCATCAGCTCAAAACATATGCACATTTCTGATGAAAACATGGACTTGATTCTTCATATTGGAATAAATTCGTTGAAAACAGAACAAATAAGTGCTTGCGCTGATATTTTAGTGTTGTGTTTATCAATACTGCGTTTAAGAAAAGGTTTAATCACTGATAAGCTACCAGTATTGTTAATATTGTACAGGAAAGTTGTACGATTAGTTGTAACGGAATCAAGAAAACCCATTGATCCACTCTCAGAACAAAAACTACAGGGTCTTGCTCTTGATATAGAAAAGTCAGTATACTTATTTGTATGTATTTTATTTGTATCCTTTTAATTAATTATGATTATTTATATCTTTCAGATGCACGAGTGCATTGGTGAAATTGAAAAAGGATGTAACGCGAATCGCACCTTATATTGTAGCTGATTTAATAGCATTGTTTTCCCAAGGGGTTATACCATCGTATGTGAAAGTAAGTATTTACTCAATTGAGGTATTAAAGAGCTTTGTGTATTTTTATGTTTTATATGTTTATATGAATCGATATATATTATAGATTCCCTTGGAGAACGCAGTCGGATATTTATTTAGTATTTGTGACGAACATGCTGTAACATTGTTGTCACGTGCGTTACCACCGGCTATGCAAGAAATCTTTAAAACATCCTATGACACGTACAAAAAATTGTACAAATTCACTGGAAAAATATGAAGCAAAATTGGTTGGAAAGGGATAATAAATTATTTTCAAGTATTGAATTATTTTTTTATTTTTGCTTGAAGAGGGTAAAGATTATACTGCACATATAGTTTCGAGCATATATACAGAATCTATTGGAAGTAATTAAGAAATAATTTAATAATACACTATCAATCAAAATTGTAAATAAAAATTATAGAAGTCCTTAATTTCGTCTTCGCCGCACCCGGGATATTCTCCACGAGTTTGGTTCTTCGTATTTGTTGTATAGAGGTTCCAGTCTTTGATTTTTCTTAAATTTACTCAATTTTGTTGGATCACTGAATTTAAAGAATGCTGGTGCAAATTCCACCAGCCATTTAGGATCAATCGTGGTGACCTCTCGCATGTACTCCTTTGTCGTTTGGACCAATTCGTGATAAATTACCTAATAGAAAAATATTTTTAGAAATTATCTCATCTGCGCGTTTCTAATATTTATCGTCAAATTATTTTAGTTAGTTTAATTTAAGCATTTGCTTACCCATTCAGGCTGCCTGTTAAACAGAGCACTGCTAGGGTGAATATAGACAACTTGACTGTCTACAAGAGTTCTATAACCTTCTTGTGGATCCTTCTTGGCTGCATTTCGAAAGAATCCGGAGCATACTGCTTTTTGAATTCGAACTGTGTTTTTACCGGCTGACACGACATCTAATTTGTGCCTAAAAATTAATGATTCGGTTATTCAAGCGACGATACAAATAAACTTTCTTTAAATATAAATTCGTACCTGTCCATTATACCAAGAAGCTGCTTGCGCACATCTTGAGCTCTCTTCAGAGTTCTAATTTGTACAAAATTCTCATAGCACCAAGCATTACTGAATTTGTTATTTCTCCAAGAATTATAAACAGCTAGTAGTGTGAGATGATCTCCTTCGGCTTGATTGAATTTAGCCTTCTTCTGATCAGCCAATGCTTGCTTATCCTTTGGTCTATATAATTTTATATTATATTCCATTTAATCAGTCTCTATAATATTTATTAAATATAAAAATATTTCAAGTAATACCTGTAAAAGACATTCTGCACAGAGAGCATGCTCACTATCGTCAGGATCTCGTCCGAACATTGCAAATGAACACTCATTATTAACATTTTTGAAAGATTTGGTTCCAATGGAAATTCTGCCATTCTACGTCCAAGTCGAGTCAGTAAACCTTCATTATCCAAAGCACTAAGACTATGCAAGGACTCTAGAGCCATTATTAAAGATTCAACAGGTGGTGCATCCATGAAATCAAAATGCAATAAGTCATTGATACCCATAGTCTTCAATTGCAAGACCGTCGTTGCTAAATTTGTTCTCTGTATTTCTGGAACTGGTGTAGGCAACATTTCATCTCTGAGAATCAACATTTTTGTCGTTAATTTTTCGCTCTTATTCTTTTTTTTATAAATAATAGAAATTCAATTACCTGTAAGCTCGCTCCGTATAAAGTCGATAACATTTCCCAGGTCCGGTTCTACCTGCACGTCCAGCACGTTGCTTAGCAGCAGCTTGACTAATTGGTGTTACTATAAGACTGTCCATTCCAGTTTTGGAATTGTAAACTTTTTGTTTAACAAAACCAGGATCAACGACGTAATAAATGCCATCGATCGTTAAACTAGTCTCTGCGATATTTGTCGCGATAACGACTTTTCGTGACCCGGGTGGTGCTGGTTCGAAAATTCTTGTTTGCATTTCCGAAGGCAATGCCGAGTACACAGGAAGAATAATTAATTCAGGAACATCCGGGCCAAGAGATTTCATTCGTTCATAGAGAATCTCACATGCTGTGTCAATTTCCTCTTGACCAGTTAAGAAAAGTAAAATATCACCAGGAGGTTCTCGCAAATGAATTTGCATTACTGTTATAAGCGCAGCGTCCAAGTAATCTGTTTCTGGTTCCTTTGTGTACATAACCTAAAGTATTTTATAGAGTATAAGAATGTTAACATTTAATGAATTAGAAGAAAATTGCAGTATACTCAAAAACAAATATTAAATATTCTTACCTCGACTTCGAAGGTCCTACCAGGAATAGTGAAAATTGGAGCTTCAAAGAAATATTGTGAAAATTTTACAGCATCCAAAGTTGCACTGGTAACTATTAATTTTAAGTCGGGTCGCCGTCCTACAGCTTGTTTTAAAAGGCCAAATAGTACGTCTGTATGAATTGTTCTCTCATGAGCTTCATCCAACATTATAACGGAATAAGTTTTTAAATCAAGATCCATGAGACACTCTCGAAGCAGCATACCGTCTGTCATATATCTGAAATAATTCATTGCCATTATGTAAAGTTATTCAGGCCAAACATACATTTACATGTAATAGCTCTCAGGATTGCTTTGTTCATATAATATTTAACGGAACTTACTTTATGCTAGTTTCTGGCCCAGTACAATCTTCGAAACGAATAGTATATCCAACTTCTTGTCCTAGTCGACAACCAAATTCTTCTGCCACTCTTTTAGCCACTGACATGGCTGCAACTCTTCTAGGCTGTGTACAACCAATCTTTCCACGAGCAGTGAAACCAGCTTCTGCTAGATATTGTGTTATCTGTGTGGTCTTTCCAGACCCCGTTTCACCAATAACGATAAGGATCTGATTGTCGGTTACAGCTTTTACCAAATCTTCACGAAGTTTATAAATTGGCAGACTTTGCCGTTGCTCAAGAAGAGTTAAATTTGTCTTTTTGCCAAATGAGGATTTTTTCCCACCGATTACGTGTTTCTTCCATTCAGGAAGATCTTGAGTTTGTAAACCAATACCCCTCATATTTGCTGCCAAAGTTCTACTCTCCGCTGCAATAATAATTTGTATACATTAGTTATTGATTACTATTAATCTTAATAGATTAATGTAACTGCAGAAAGTATATAATTCTGAATATCCAATTTACCATTTGGTAAAGGATCGATCCAGTTCTTGTTGAGTCCAGTGGGTGCAGAATCCATTTCTTGTTCCCTTTGTAATATTTTCTGTTCGCGTCTCTCCTTGGCTAGGGCACTTTGCATCATTGCTGCTTGAGCCAGGGAACCATCTGGATTCTTTACAATCCTAACAGGACTGAGATCTGCTAGGGCTCTACCATGTCCATGTAGAAATGGCGGTTCCTCCTCGACTAATTCAATTTCGACATCTTCCTCTTCGTCGTCTTCTCGAGGCAAGATCCCTGTTTCCATGTCAAATTCAGGCAGTTCGCTCCTAGTAACGATATGGCAAAAAAAAGTATTAAAAACTATGTAAAAGTCCTACAAATATATTGTCGTATATCTTACCTATCGATACAGGAAGCTGCCAACATCTGCTTGATTTCCCACTTTTCTGGTGAGGATAATCTCTGAACACGTTTTCTTGAGTATGTCTCATCTTCATCCAGGTGTCCTTGAAGCTCAAGCAAGGATGTTGGTCTATCAGGATTCCTGAGACGTGTCTCCTCCTCTTCAACTTTCCTTTCAGCTATTGCACGATTTGACTCATGCCCTACATCTTCCTCTGAATCCTTTATATTGTGTGAATTCTAAATATTTATGAAGTATAATTATAAATATTTTATATAACAAAATGGTGTTAAATTTGAACATTTATATTACTAGATTACCTTGTGTCCAACAACGACAGATGGCTTGGGGAAACGTGATCTCTTATAATCACGCGAACGTGATCTACTTCGATCGTGGGATCGTGATCTTCTATGATCCCGGGACCTTCTTCTTTCTTGAGATCGTCTTCGTTCTTGGGATCTTCTGCGTTCGTTAGATCTACCCCGACCACGTGACCTATGACGTTTCCTTGAGTGTGATCTAGATCTATGTCGCCGATCCCTTCGATTGTTGGGTGATCTAGAACGATGTCTTCGTCTATCCCTAGAGCGATTTCTTCGATGTCTATTGTCTGAACCATCATCAATATCTGATGCTTTCTCAGTTTTAACTTTACGTGAGTCTGATTCATTAGGTTTTGAGCTTGATGGTGCAAAAGCTTCCAATGAAGCCATTGCATCATTCACAATGTCTTCGTCATTTTCTTTCTTCGCTAACTTCTCATTTGGTATTGCCAAACCTGGAAATTTATCTGCTAAGTCATCCTTTGGTGCATTTGGACCTTGAGATTTTCCTGCCGATCGACCTTTTGGTGGCTTCATATGTTGAATAATGCGTAAAAGATTTGCCATAAACGAATCCTATAATAGTAAAGATGTATAAATAACTTACAGTAACAGGCAGGATGTTAGTATACATAGTACTTTAATGTAACAATAAATAATTTTTCTTACTGAAAACTCAGCTCCATTTTCAAGAAGGACTTTCTTGAAGCTCTCAAAAGTGTCGTTTTTCTCTGCCAAGTGTATAATATATTCGGCTAAAAACGAAATTTGACTTTAAAATATGTATTAATTATACAAACACATACATATTGGTTAGATTCACACCTAAAACTTTCTCGTTCATTCCCAAATGGTTTTCCAGTTCTGTACATATTTTTGACACCAACGAAAGGTGCTCTAATTTTTCCACTTCTTCGGCCATGATTTTTTATGGAATAACTATAGAAATAGTTTGTACTCGAAGAGAAGTAAACTTTATAAGTGAAACATAACCTCAAATAACGTTTGTCGCCACCATATACTCAAAACCACGGTCTTACCAGAGATGAGTAGGGAGATTGCCAATGAGCCTGTTTTTGGTGGTCTCAACTTTTCTCTGGTTACGGCGCGCCACCTTAGCGGAGGGCCCTCGAAGCAGTTCCACGTTTTTGATTGGTCGTGTATATATAGTAATACTACGCGTGATTATCTGGGACTGTGTTTTGGCGCGTCGACGCGCCACCTGAACGAGACTCTCGAACTAGTTCCACGTTTTTGATTGGTCGAATGAATTCGTGTGTTCCTCGAGACCCACGATTTTAAACCGGGTGAACACTTAAATAGGGAGACTTGTATCCACCTTTTTTTTTACAGGATATTACATAAACCTTAGTAATAAAGTAGTCAATACCCTTAATACCCATATGAAGCTCTGGAAATAATAGAGTAAGCAAATAAAACTTTAAAAAACTCTCGAACGTGGGTAACTACAGAAATATAAGTTTGCTAAACAATATACCACAATGACTCGATAGCACACGTGCTTGGTGCTGGATTAACGTCCGAGAGTCCTCGAGTTCGAAACTCATGTCGGCAATGTGGCACCTCACTCGCAATAGGGAATATAATCATATATTTAATGAATCTTAAGTTAACTAGGTAAACCAATAAGAATAGTTGATAATTAAGAAAAAAAAAAAAAGGGCTGAGACGTGAGTTTCGAACTCGAGACTCTCGAACATTAATCCAGCACTAAGCACGTGTGCTATCGAGTCACTGTGGTATATTATTTAGCAAACTTATATTTCTGTAATTACCCACGTTCGAGAGTTTTTTTAAGTTTTATTTGCTTACTCTATTATTTCCAGAGCTTCATATGGGTATTAAGGGTATTGACTACTTTATTACTACGGTTCACCAAGCACGTGTGCTATCGAGTCATTGTGGTATATTATTTAGCAAACTTATATTTGTGTAGTTACCCACGTTCGAGAGTTTTTTTTAAGTTTTATTTGCTTACTCTATTATTTCCAGAGCTTCATATGGGTATTAAGGGTATTGACTACTTTATTACTACGGTTTATGTAATATCCTGTAAAAAAAAAGGTGGATACAAGTCTTCCTGTTTGAGTGTCACCCGGTTTAAAATCGCGGATCTCGAGGAACACACGAATTCATTCGACCAATCAAAAACGTGGAACTGCTTCGAGGGCCCTCCGCTAAGGTGGCGCGCCGAAACCAGAGAAAAATTGCCTTCACCAAAAACAGGCTCATTGGCAATCTCCCTACTCATCTCTGATCTTACATACAGGTCATGGAGACTAGAGTAAAGGAGTCCCATCATAATAGAGGAATCAACGAAAAAACGACACCAGAAATGTGTCGAAAATAAGAAATTCACTATTTCGCCGATGGCGTCGCTGTTGTCAATAAGGAACCTATATATAGATATAGAAGCCATGTAGATTTAAAAATAATTGCATGTTACGACGGGTTCTCTAGCGGAGTCAGCGCCGCAAGTGTCGTTTCGGGCAACCTCAATTTAAACAGCTTTTCGGTGTCATTCCTTATGTACATAGATGGGACTCCTCTACTCTAGTCTCCATGATACAGGTCTTGAAACTTCCTCGAATTTCAGTGGTGGGGGTATGGTCGCTTACTGAGGCTGAATTTAGTTTCAAACAAGCGGCGCTGTGATCGGATTCCGCAGATGAACATAACCTGCAATCGGTTGTGGGAGAGAGAAATAGGTACCTCAGTGATGTTAGCCGGGTAATTTTAACTTTTTAACTTTTTATCATACCAAATCGATTGGTGGTCGTTTGGTGGTCATTGGTGGCCTAATAAAAACATTTGGTGGTCAGTCCTTCTTTTATAATCAAATAATAAAAATTTGGGTAAAACTGCAGTATACGACTCCGAACTGAAGTTGGCTGCTAGTGACTTAGGTTTTTTGAGGTAACGCCATCTGCCGGATATAATGTGAATCGCATGGAATAGTCACGCCACCTATTAGAAAAAAAATTAACCATATTTAAAATTATAAAATCAATTTATTTTTATTGGAGTACACATATGTATCAATTAATAAAGATCTAAAAAAATATATTATACATAAATTTATACAATTTACTTACAAATTTCGAAGCTGAAACCTCTTCTTTTATCTTAAGCAAAATATTGTGAATCGAGAAGTTAATGCTACGTCAATAATTGGTGGCTCTGAAAAGTGCCGATTTTTTGGGATTTCCTCCGTCGACGATTCCACTTCAAAATCCAGTTCCGCTTGCTTCCGCTGCGTCAGTGTCCTCTGCAGCGTCCACGTCGTTGGATGGAGGTGGAGGAACGCGAGCAATGTCTTTCAAAAACGTTTCATAAGGATCAAGGGCATCTGTTCGCAAGCATCGGTACATAAACTCCCATAAATATGAAGAGAACATGCCTTTGCTGCGATTGCAATCCGGCAGTTGCCGTTTTACCAATGCCCACAATCCTTCTATAACGTTTGTGGAAGCAGCAGTCTCCGGATCTTTGAAAGTCAATGAATGATTGACGGTCAGATGCTCGTAACTTTCTGCACCTAAGGATTCATAGGCTTTTCAACAATCGCTAACAATTGTGGTGCCAGGTGGAATAAATTCCTTAATGAGAGGCACGAGTGTGGCCGCCGATCAATCATTCACTGTTGTCAAAAAACATCGATTACTGGCGCGTTCTATCCCACCAAATACCCACTGCCCTGTCACATGTTTACCTCGGTGGTACTTTCGCTTGTCGAACTTCGATTCGTCGATCTCTACAACAATACCCGGACCTCCAATTTGTCCACATTCTTCTAGTACAATACCGACGTATAATTCGCGACAGAAATAGTACCAGTCGACCGTCGTGTGCGGGGAACATTAAAATTCCCACTGAGCCTGAATCTGGGTGTACTTATGAATACAAAAATATGTCAATTGTAAAATTTCGATCATTGGTAACTTCGATTTGCCACAAAACGAACCAGTTCTCACTGATCTCGTTGTTTTGCAACTCCGACATAGCCAACGATATTTGTCCGAAAGAAATTTAGCAGTGCATAGAATCATATCCTTATCGCACACTGGACACTTGAAAGTCCGAGCTATGAGTCCATATCTTTGTGCAAAGGTGATTACCTCAATAGAAAATTTCTCACCTAGTTTGAACAAATCTACGAACCGTATCACCATTGCAATCGATCACACACAATCCAATTTAAGCAAAAGAAATAATAGCACACTTGTGTTACACACTTTGCGAGCTACTAACGAAAATCATGGTTCTACATGTTTTACGAAAGCAGACGATACATTGTAGCAAAAAAATCTCGAAGCAGTAGATCAAATTTAATGCTCAATATACAATCACGAGCTTGCACTTAGAATATATGTATGCACAGAGATGAGTAGGGAGATTGCCAATGAGCCTGTTTTTGGTGGTCTCAATTTTTCTCTGGTTTCGGCGCGCCACCTTAGCGGAGGGCCCTCGAAGCAGTTCCACGTTTTTGATTGGTCGTGTATATATAGTAATACTACGCATAATAATCTGGAGCTGTGTTTTGGGGCGTCGACGCGCCACCTGAACGAGACTCTCGAACTAGTTCAACGTTTTTGATTGGTCGAATGAATTCCTGTGTTCCTCCAAATCCACGATTTTAAACCGGGTGAACACTCAAATAGGGAGACTTGTATCC